AATATCTTACAAAATCATAGGACATCAATTGCATATGTGAATGTACCTGATAGAAAAAGCCTTTGTTGTCGTGGGTCCAGGCAATACTAGAAAATTTGACCCATTTTAGCTTGTCTTCCGAAAGTGTCTTGTCACATACTCGCATCACCTTTTTAGATGGGAGAGAGAAGGAGTAAGGTTGGTAGAAAGAAGTAAGTAGGGAGAGGGAGGGAAGGAGTAAGGTTGGTAGAAAGAAGTAAGTAGGGAGAGGGAGGGAAGGAGTAAGGTTGGTAGAAAGAGTAAGTATGAGAGTGAGGTCCAAAGGATTGTAGCTTTGTTTACCTCCCTGACGTACGTGCGTGCGTAAGGGTATGTTTGGTAGAGAGAGTACTTCTGTCTCTGTCGTCCGTCTCCTGTTGTGTTCGCCTCGCCTTCCCGTTCTTCGCGTGCTTGGCCCGTCTCTCGTGTTTCCGGTCTGCCCCGCCCGCGCCCTCTGTTCCCCTCCTCCCCGTCTCTCTGCCTCATGGCTTGTGGCATGTGCTTCCTGGCTCCTTTGGTTCAGCTCTCACACAAACACTGGAACTGCAATACCAGGTTAACCATGCACATTATAATTATTATATATATACTACCCAGTGGACACTCTGTCGCAAGTTGAACTATTTTCTAATGAGCCGTAACTGAAACTGATTGCCGGACTGTGGCCACTGCCCACTGCACCTGAAAAGCAGGAATAAGACGGCCAGCATCTGCCACCTTACGTACAGGTTTTCGAGGAAGGGTTAGAATTCTATCTAGAATGTAGATATCTGTTTTGAGTTCAACTCTGTTTCAAACAAGCTACAATATCCTGATTTCTCACTATATTAACGGGTGCTGCGGAAATAATTTATTACGTCATAGGATTCTACCACACGCCAGCTAGAGCCCTACCACCAAGGACAGCCGGCAGACTGAATGGAGAGACCAGTATGAACGAATGGAGAAACCAGACTAGACGAACTGGGCAGACCGGCATGGGCTGACTAATAAGGCAAAACAGGGCCAACTGGACAAACCTCAATGGTGTTCCAGTCGGACCCGCTCTCGCTGAGACCGTATGCGAAGAGCTCTCCGTCCTCACTGAAGGAGCGGATGGAGAGGGCAACAGTTCCGTCCTCTGAGAGAGAGTTTGGGTCCAGGAATACCTCCGGCTCCGCTTCAAGACTCTCCTGCACATATAGGACACTGTGGGGGATGGAGGGAATTACATGAGTTGCATATGAACTATAGAGTATATACACTGTAGGGAATAGAGTATTGTATATACAGACACTGTGGGGGGTGGAGGGAATTACATATGAACTATAGAGTACACTGTAGGGAATAGAGTATTGTATATACAGACACTGTGGGGGGTGGAGGGAATTACATATGAACTATAGAGTACACTGTAGGGAATAGAGTGGGGTATACAGGCACTGTGGGGTGGGAGGGAATTACATATAACTATAGAGTCACTGTAGGAAAGAGTATGTATATACAGGACACTTGGGTGGAGAGCTAAGTTTACACTGTGGATGAGGTAATATTATATAGGACACTGTGGGGGTGGCGGAGAATAGAGTATAGTTTAAAAGGTGGGTATTAACTATAGAGCATGGGTATCGTGAAGAAGTTGTGGTGGTACTTATCCTTTACTCATTCGGCTAATAGCCTATACACAAATCTCATGTATTGACTAATTAATGGTTGTGATCAAGTTTTTTCAATAGACATTTATTGCGTAACACACAATTGCTGAAAAGCCTTGATTATAAATGTAAAACAACTTCCCATACGTTTACCTCTGGTTCTGAAGGCCAGTGTTCATAAAATAGAAATATCGGGAGCCTCTTTTGAATGGCGCCGAGTATTTCGGATAGTTGTATAGCTCCGTTAACCTGCATACGACATGTATAATTCAGCTGCAGGTCAAGGTTCAAAGAATATACAGTTTTATTGCAGCGCGCACTCAATGGCCTATTATACCTGTCTTTGAATCTGTCCCTGGCTTCACAGGTAGCAAGGTAGGGCTGGGTTATCTCGTTCTGCGCTGCAACAAACGCTCGCGTCTCTTCGGAGTCCGGGTCCTCCAGCCAGCGGTACGGATCAGGAACGCTCCTTCCGAAGTGGTCGTCCGTAACGGAGTCGTCGCGTCTCACCGACGGATACGTCCACTTGGCCATCTTGGGAACGCTTGCGGCAAAGAAACGACGCCTTGGAAGACTTCTTCGGATAACGGAGGAACCGAAGGAGGAGGAGGAGGAGGAGGAGCAGCGAAGGAGAAAAAACGACGAAGCGCGGAGCACGTGGGTCATCGGTGGCTTATTTTGCGCATGCGCAATAATAGCGAAATGCGGGGGCTGCGCGCGGACTTCAAAAAGTGTAGCGACAGGCGCAGCGCGGCAGCTAGAAGTTCGGGACAGATAATCAAAGAAAGCTTCTTCCATTACAGCTTCAACCGGGGCGGGCGAACGTTACTTTTACACCGTTCAAAATAGCTCGCCGGCGGTGCAGAGCGTCGCAGTCTCCAGAGAAAGTAAAGGGAAAATGGCAGCAGAAGACGCTGAGAGGGTAGCGGTGCTCGAGCAAGAGCTGGAGACGTCGCGTAAAGAGATTCTGCAGTTGCGCGAGAAGGTCGAGCAATTCGTGAAGGCCAGCGCGGAGTTGGACGACGAGTCGTACGACGCTGCGCAGACGTTCCAGCTCAAGAAAGAGCTGACGGACCTCCGCGAGGAGCTGGCAAAGAACGAGGAAACGAAATATGAGCTCGCGGACGCGAAGCACGAGCTGGCGGAGCTCCGCGCCAAGAACGAAGAGCTGGAAGTGCAGCAGTCGCGCAAGTCGACGCGCACAGATATGCAGCGCATCAAGTCGGAAAAGTCCACTCGTGAAGAGGTGGAACGCCTGCACAAGGAACTGAGGCAGATGGAGAGAAACTCAAAGGCCCAGACGTCAATGGTGGAGGCTCAGCTGAAAGCTTCAAAGGACAGCCTCCAGAGAGCAGCCGAGAAGACTCAGGCCGTGCAGCGAAGACTGGACTTGGTTGACAAGGAGAGGATGGAAATCAAGCTGGAGAACCAGAGACTCGCCCGCAAGCTGGAAAAGTCAGACTCCTACGCAGAGAAGAAGCGAGCCCAGATGGAGGTCGAGAGCCAGGAGATAGAGATTTCAAACTTGAAACGGAAGAACAGCAAACTAGAGAAGCAGATCTCCATCTCCACTATGAACCTGAGTGACATCGGCAAGATTGGAGGGTCCTTCAACATCCCAAATCCCAGCCGCACTGACTCGCGCAACGATTCCCATGTCTCGTCCGGGACAAGTTCTCCTATTCCAATGACACTCTCAGAGGCAAGGGTCGAAAACCTCGAGAAGGAGCTGCAAGCTCTCGAGGAACACAACAGTACCCTCGAAACGCAAAACGAAGCACTGACGAGGGAATTACAGGCTGCGCAGGACAAGGCAATGGTGCTACTATCGCAAGTTGATCAGCTCCAAGTGGTGACCGGTGGGTCTGAGAGAGATGGAGAAGACATTTTGACTCAACTGCCAGAGTTCCAGAACTCTCTCCCCCCGCAAATGCCAGTAACCAACGGCCCGGCACAAGACGACTCACTGTTTAACGAACTCCAGCAGGAAGTAGGCAAATTGAAGAAGGAACTGGACAACAAGGAAACCGAGCTTCGCGTGAGGGTCAAAGAAATGAAGGCCACAAACGAGGAGCTAAAACGGCAAGTGGAGGAGCTGGAAATGGAAAAGCTGCGTCTTGAGCTCGGAGAGGACGAAGAGGGAGCAGGAACGGATACAGAAGAAGAGGCAAAGGAGAAGGAAGTGACGCCACAGCCCCAACTAGCAGACGACTCAGAAGTCAAGCTTCTGCGAGAGAGAATCATGTCCCTGCAGGACGAACTGGTGCAGGTCTCGCAGAGCAACGACGAGCTGCAGGCAAAACTGGCAAAGCAGCAAGAGGAGGCCGAGCAGTTCGTGCAGTCAATCGCGAGTGAACTGAACGAGGTCGAGCCAACGGAAGAGGAGAAGACAAGGGAGCAGAAACTGACAGAGCGGAACGAGGAGCTCAAGACTAAGATCAGCGAGCTGCAAGATGCGATGAATGACATGATCAAGGAGATTGCACGTTTCAAGGCCATCATAGCAGACCAGGTATGTATGAATCATAATTATCTCACTTCTATAGTTTTCCCTGGGAAATTTCTGCACTGAAAACCCTATTCCACTTTTATACACAGCCAAAGTAATATATTATTTCTCGGTAGGCCACAGTGCACGGTTTGCAAGGATTTATGTTTGAAGAATTTTCACGGAGGCATGATTATTTTGTTTGTGTGAGCATGCTATGTTGTGTGAGATCAGTTGATACAATGCATATTTCCCGGCCATTCCCCCTTGTCTAGCGGGCACTTGGTGTCATGCAAAATGGTGTTTACGCGGCTCATGTGTCACTGTTGATGTTGCACTCTGAGCTCCCACACAAACAGTGTGCATGTGGAATGTTCTCAGAGCTATTGGTCAACACCTTAGAATAGACTTACCTAGTAGCTAGAACACCAGCATTTTACTTTTGACCACATAGTCCTTTATTGCCACACTTTCTCAGAGCATTCGTTGTATTGTGTATTGCACAGGAGGAGGAGATAATACTGCTGAAAGTACAGAAAGACCAACTCGAACAAGAGCTCACTGAAATGTAAGTGCACATCATGCTTCACCTCTGACTCTGACATCATTGACATTATTAACATTCCTGCATCAACGGGAGTATAACAGCACGATGCACAACCAACACTGAAGATGACTACTGTAATCCCATGAGGAACTTGGGACCTGTTTACTCCGTAATATCATTTTTGGCCTACATAGAGCATGTACTATGATCATAGCGCCTTCTAGATTTCGTCCATACTGTTTCACAGGTGAGTGACTTCCTTTAGTAAGGTAAAGGGTAGGTTCATCTTGAAATAATCTGTTTGTGTACAACAGCGTATGGCCAGCATAAAATCTTGTAGTTGTAGTCATGCGGAGGTTTATGTGGCTCATATGCATGAAAGTTGCAGTCGATGATCCGTGGCATGCCAGTTTCCTGCTTGTCCAGCCAGACTGAATGTGGGGGTGTCTGTAGTGTGGCACTGGAGGAGTATACTATAATAATCACTCAAAGGAAGGTGTATATGGAGCTATACGTACTGGCTCAAAGAGGGACGTGTACTGGGAATTAAGCTCAGTGTCGTGTGTACTAGGGTCCCACGTGCAAGCAGAGCTCACAAGCCAGCAGTGAATTAAGCCAGTGGCTATACCTCCAGCTTATGTCTCTGCAACCAATGGCAATGTCAACAACTCATAATCCCTCTCTCTGTGTAACCCCTTCACGCAAATGCTACTTTTCGAAGAAAATAGTGCATAGGATTGTGTGAAGGCATCAAAGAGAAATGGCACACTGCATCAAGTTAGCAGTGTTTCAAAGTGTCCGTAAGGTTCCATTTCCGCTTGCAATAATGCTCACTTTTGTAGTATATACTTTGCTCTATAGTTAATAACTAATAATGTGCGCTTTCCTTCCACCCATGTCTAATACACACGACACACATACACAGCATGGAGGCTGAGCCTATTCTTCTCAATGGTGATACTAATGATCAAGAAATCTCCTCTCCTCCTCCCGAGAAATCCAGAGAAAAGACCCCCACTCTAGCAAACGGTGAGGGGAGTGCTGGCGAACAGCTCTCGGCTCCTCCCCCAACAAAGCCACGATCTCCAGCTTCGAAAAAGCCAAAGGAGAAAATCCCAACCCCGTCCCCTCAAAAGGAGGAAACCCCTACCCCGGAGAAAGTGAAATCTCCCACTCCGAAACTCCAGAAAGGGAAAGTAGCCCCCGAGAAGCCGAAAAAGAAGAAATCCCCCGAAAAGGAGGTCACACCAACTCCAGAGAAATCCAAGTCACCTTCTCCAGAGAAAGCAAAGTCACCCACTCCGAAACTCCAGAAGACAAAGACACCTACCCCTACCCCGGAGGAAAAACCGAAATCCCCCACCCCAACTCCGGAGTTGGTCACTCCAGCTGAAGTCCAACCTACTCTGGCTGAGGCCCAACCCACTCCATCAGAGGAGGAGAAGGAAGAAGTGGACGGGCAATCAGAAGAGCAGCTTGCGCCGGCTGTGGTGCAAGACAAAACGCCTTCACCAGCCCCAGTAGAGAAAGAGGCTTCTCCTCCAGTAAAGAAATCACCACCTGCACAGGAGAAAGCCAAGTCACCCACCAAAAAGCTGGGCGGAATTCTTTCAAAGTTTCAAGCTCCTGCCAATGACAGGGTGAGTGGCAATTCTCTTTACCGGGCTACGAGCCATGGATACAAGAGCTGTTTCTCGCTTTAACCTTTGTATCCACGCAATGTCTCCGTTGAAATATTTGGATTGGCTGTCCTTGCAACTTTGTCTTTCTTGTTGTCTTTAACTGACCAGGTACTTGAAGCTCTCTCCTCCCTCTCAATTATTATGCCATATTTACCCTCATCTACTCTCTTCTTCTGCACTCCCCCAGGTTGACAGTGGGCCTCCACAGCCTCAAAAGAAGACAGCTCCCTCCACCAAGAGACGCCCACCGAAGCAGTGGCCACCACAGCCAAAGAAGTGACCGTGGAGTCCAGTCCCCTCCCACAAAAGAACACCCCATACTTATAGCTACCAATATCATAGTATTATGCATCATACAAGTGGATAGATACACTGAAAGTGTTTAGGCATATTGTTATTGCCCTGTGCTGCTGTTACGGTCACATTTGCTGGTTATGAAGAGTGTGTATATATAATGTAGTATATTGCACAGAGAGAGTGTTAGTTTGAGGGATGTGGATAATCGGACGGTCCCAGTGCGTCTTGTCGCATTGAGTACAGTTCACTCACCCACTCCTTCACTTCTGGACTCACAAACGTACCTATACACACACAACAACACAACAACAGCTTCCATACTAATATTAATTGTACTAGTATATGAATGCTTTTGACGAGCTAACGCGAGAGTCACAGGCAGCAGGTATCGCGAAATTTACGTAAATAAATTCTGTGGGTAGAAAAAATCTTCCTTGTATCAAGTTTTGTTCATATTACCTTTGGTTGAGTCAAAGAATTGCTGCAACTCGCCTTCTCTTGACTCAGCTATAGGAGGCATTAATAAGAGGAATTTTGCACATTAGCTTTAATAATTTGAATGTCTACTTCTTTCAATGCCGAAAGTGATGTTAGATCACATAACATACGTAGGATGGTCTGATAATACCATATTATTATACCACAACTAAATATAGATCACAACATAAATAGCTCATAATAATGAAGATGACATCATACTCTAGTTCAATTTTAGTAACATAATACATGATGACATCACAGACCTTTTTCGTACTCGAAAGCCTGGAATATCATGTCAAACTTGTCCAAATCCTTCACGACCCGAGCCTCGGCAGTCTGTCCCGTCTCATACTCCTGCATAACACACGCAACAACCACAATGGCTGATCCAGGAAATAGTACTATAATTATTGCCGAGCTCGTTAGCGTGAGGCAACTACTCCGGGTTGTATTCTCACGATATGTGTACGTACGTACGTGTCGGTCACGCTTAAGAATGTCAATTAGTCACCAAAAGGAAGTGTAACTTCCGTCATTCGTAGGAAGTCTAGCTTCCGCCGTGCACGCAGATTCATAGGAAGTCTTGGTTCGCGCAGTCAGTAGAGTGCGCACACGAGCGGCCTCAGTCGATGTGTTTACGCATTGGCTGGCAGGCGACGGGCAAAATATGCGCGTGCGCATTTCTAGTACCAATACTGAGAGACTTTTGAGGGGAAATTTTTCACTTTTTGGTGGAAGGTTACCAGAGAAAACTTTCATGGATTGCTTGCAGTCTCATACAGAGGGTCTATAATGGTGGAGAATAATTTCACAGTGAAGCCAACATGCGTTTCCCATAATACAGTATGCTTGGGTAGACCAACTGTCATTAGTAGCAGCCCAAATGTCTTGTTGTATATATATACTGCTGAGTGTCAAGGGTTCGAACCCCACCTAGGGTGGCTCTTCTTTTTTTCCTTGGAAATAAAGAGCTGTCCTGGGTGTAGTTGATTTGTTTGTTGCGCCTTTGCCTCTTTCTACCTCGTAGTTGATACGTACTTAGTTTCCTGCTATAATTATGGTCTGTACAGTAACATACCAGCCAGAGGTCGTACATTTCTTTTCCAACCTAATAGAAGGGGGGAAAATGTACCTATAATAGTACTATGCATGGTGTTATAGCAGTGCCTCCCAATTGACAAGGAGTCACCTATCAATCACCACAGCTATCACCTCATACATCTAGCACTGTATTAGTCTCATGGTCTGAGGGCTAGATTAATACCGCATGGACTGCTTGCATTTGCACATTTGGTTGCCAAAGATGCCCTGCATTCGCTCTGGTATGAAGTGCCATGTGTTGAACCGACTGCACATGCTTTCACCACCTACCACGGTTTGCAACATTTATAGAGCGCAGCGTACGAACACGTTTGATGTGCAAACAGAGGGTGGCGTTCGCAGTATATACACACACGTGCCGGCATTCCTCACCGGGCGTGTGTCATAACAACGCATCAATAATCCAGATGGTACATTTTGCGGGCAGATGCCCCTCACTATACGATGTAATGATGTGTCAGCATCAACACAAACAATGGAGTACCGTACTATTGATACACCCACCGTATAGAGTATTTACAATGCCGACGTGTGTACATACCCACATTATTATGCATGATGTGAACAGATGTAGTATATAAATGATGAAACAGCTGTAATATAAGATACTTGCATGCTTTGTGCTTTCGTTCATGCATCTCCATGGCTTCGCCGTCCGCACAAACATGGGCAAACTTTTCAGTACAAACGGAAAATGCTGCCTTAGCTGGTTAGGGATTCAAACCTATGACCTCACCGCCCTAACTACTGAGCATGTATATCAGAGTAGCTTACGGCAAGCAGGACGGCATAAAAGGAAACGGCAAAAACCTGAACATCACACAATTATAATGCACACATTATAACCTTTTGATTGCACACATGATTGGTCAGACAAAACACCCTTTCAGCTAGATGATACATACAGCTAGCCAGGATTAAAAAAAAACTATTTTAGAGTTAAAATTTCCATTAGTAAACGCTGAATATCCGAGGTGGTGGGCTCTATTTGGAGTTGGAGTTGTCGGAAAAAGTTCACCATCTGGTACCACCTAATAAGACGCTCTAGCGGAAAATAAGACACACTAACACACCTGACGTTACAACTCGGACCAATGGTGCACGTTTGAACTACACACGACTCGTCGTTATCATTCTGGACTCTTTGCCAAGGTAACCAGTCTAATTGGGAGGCGGGGACCCAATAGATGTGTTGCCGTAGTACCAAACACACTCGTTGGAACTGTACGGGGACGGTATCCAGTGATACACATCTTGACACCTCGTCCACTGCTGAAGAATGTGGAATGGGAATGGGACCGAGAGATTGGAACAGAGTCTGGACAGAGGAGAGGGCTAGGTGTGCAAGTCTCTCTGTTTCTTGTAGGATGGAAGACACGGCCATATCAACAGCAACAACAGACGAACTTCCCCTACAAGTATACTCTTGAGAACGAGGGTTAGACAAGCCGGCAAACATAGTGCTGGAAACAGCCACATCGGCAGCAAGAGATGAGTTTCTAATTCCAGTGGACCCTTGAGAACCAGAGCTGGCAAACTTAGTGGTGGCAACTGCTTTATCATCAGCCACAACACTGGATAAGCTCTCCATCATAACAGACCCAGGGTTTGAATATCCTGTAAACACAGTGGTGGCAACAACTTTATTGGCCTCAAAATGAGACAAGCTTCCAGTCCCAGTAGATCCTTGGATAGGTTTAGAGCATCTGTCACACTCATCAGTGTTTGCGAGCCAGTCACCAATCACCTCAGGAAGGTCCAACCTGTCAAGCAATGTGACTCCTTCTTTGTCCACACCACATTCCCTGCCAAGGATAGAGGCCAGGACAGGTACAGCCAGCGGGTCCTGTTCCGAGACCACAATCCCGGGAAGGAGAGCCTGGGAATGGGACGCGATGAATCCCACTACAGCCGAGAACTGCTGGAGGTAAGAGTAGGACGGTTTCAGAGTGAGGTTAGACAGAGACGCTTTGAGATGGCTCTGACGACGAGAGAACGAGTCGTTTCGCAGGCGAAGAAGTTGAGCTGGTGTCGAGAAACTTGAAGGACAGCGAGGCACTGCACAATGGCAAGGTTCTTTCTCAGCCTCCTTCTCTCTATCTTCCATCTTCCGGCAGTCATAGAGTCGAGATTGACTGGGTCTGCTGTCTAACTACCCAACAGCTGAGCTTTTCATACAGTAACTCAATTAATGCCCAAGTCCATTAAGACATGTACGTAGGTAGGTAGAACTGTACAGCATTCGAGTTTCTGGCGATGTAATACAACAGGCAGTTCTGTAGTGGCACTACGCCGACTATGCACGCAACACAACCGCAAGTCTGATATGACTGAACCTATTTCAGAGCCCTGTCCACTATCTATACTGATGCCTGGCTAGTTGTACTGAGTAGCTTGAGACTGTGTGCTTGCTTTATGTGACTCCACTCCATACATACAATACAGAGACACTATGTGAGTGCGTACTATAACTTGCCTACTATAAATGGTAGTGGCTAATGCAAGCACAAACACGCACAATTGCAGGTAAATAGAGGAATGAATGTGTGTAAACCTCACTACAGGAAAACGTCTGAATAAGGCACACGTTGAGGACATCGAAAGTATAAATTACTTAGACGTGTCCCCTATTCTGAGGTACTAGTCTTATATAGATTAGAGGGTCCTTTTTCAGAGGTTTCTATATACTGGCCTGCTATGTAAAGACAAACATGTGGTTTTAGGGTGTGCGTTCTACTGTATAGGGCCATTTGTTGCTGCTGGCTCACCGAATTTTTTACATCAGACAAACTAGAACGAGTATTTTTTAAATACCTCTTGGGGAAGGTAGGTTTGAATCTGCTCCATTGCTGCCTGTATATATGGGGATGATAGGAGGGATATTGGAATAGGTAGGATGGGAAAGAATAGGGAGAGCGTGGGGGGGGGGAAGGGAGACGGAAGATGAGAGGAAGAAAAACCGAGGAGGAGGTGAAGGAGAATTTGGGAGTCACCTCTAGTCACCTAACTTCCAAGATTTTGTTTGAGTGCATCAGTTCTAATACTGCAAACTCACCTTTTCTCTGGAGTGTTTCTCCTCTTTACTGACTCCAGATGAAGGGGTGAGATCTCCAACAATCGACTCGGCCAGATCATGAACCAACGCCATCCTGATACACCTGAACATACGTACACACACACAGCTATAAATGTGTGAGGTTTTTTTTGCCTGATTAAATGGTGTGCCATTTTAAGGTTTCCATAAATTTTCACAGCGTCTGATAGATCTCTATCCACAATAATTATCCCCCCCCCTTCCCCAATTTCACATCTTTATCTTTGACAATTGTTACTCAAATCTGCCACTCTTTTAAAAGCAAGCTGCACTGTAAGATGTGAATATTTTTACGATTACTATCATGCATGAAGGGGAAGGAAAGAGAAAACATTCAAGTCCCAGTTAGGTGTATAGGAAATGCAGGATGAACATCTCTTACTGGATTATACTCTTATTATGTGTATTTGTACCTGTCTCTATCGACACTGGGATTTGACTTGCTTCCAAAGAGAAACGACATCATCGCCATTCTGTACATGTGTCCCGATACCGTCTCGGGCTCGGACACTTTGTGGTTCACCCAACCCGTCCTCTTGAGGTGCTTAGAGAGTGGAGTGATGGGAGAGACATAGGTTATGTAGGGATGGAGGTATATATAATTATATATATAAGAGAGAAGACTCTGACTCATTTCGCACATTATATTATCTATTCGCAAAGTATGGAGGTAGAGGGTGGAAGGGGGTTATGTAACCCCCTTCTTTACTAGAGGGAGAGGATTTAGTTTCCTCTCTCCTCCTCCTCGTCACTCACTCTACTATACGAAACTGGGAAGTAGGTAGGAAGACAAAAGGTAAGAGGCGCAAGAAGAATAAGCCTACAAAGAGCTGGGAAGTAGGTATATATGCAGGAAAGGTAGAAGCCACTACCCATAGGTTGACGCTGTTGCATCAACTGCTGATGTACAGACAGCTAAGTATCTTAAGTAGACAGAAACATCGCACGTAGCAAAAACTACCAGGACACTATATAGCTACCTACATCCACTACAGAGGTGATCTGTAGATGATGTAAATGGACAGCTGACCAGCGTGCAAGAGCCAGGTGTGATCTGTCTCCATGTCGACCGACCAGCAGCGATAATCTCGGAATCTACCAGTCTGGGCCTACAGCTGACCGGCACGTACTTACACATGCAGACGCATGTCACCATGTACACTGAACAGCTGTACTAGTAACATGTATGTCTTTCCACATGTAGGCCTGTAGTGTGGCGAGAGCAGCTGAGCCACAGTGTAAAGACAGCTGACCCATCAAAGAAACAACCGTTGAACAGGCATCAATGCCAGGGCCGGCAGCCAAAGTAACTACTATTGGAGTGTGTTCTGAAAGCCGTCCCACGTGCATAAAGAGCGACTAGAGAAAATTTGATACCGTTCATCAGTGTGCATGCCCTAGCTTCACAATGTATATACACATCCCTTCATTATGGGTCATTTTCATGGCCAGCTGCTCGGTAAATGACCAATTTACAGTGTTTCTATAGCTAAGCTGCATCCCAATGTGTACAAAACCTCCTCATTTGTTCTACAAGGCAAGGAATTTTAAAATCCCACTATGTAAGGTGCAGTACTTTGACTCATTATCTCAATTTCCGTAACCGGCCCGGACCACATTTATATCCCAACTTGGATGCGATTTCAGACGCTTAATTCACTGCTTGGATGGGATACCCGTGGGCTAAACTGTCTTCTTCATACGGTTGTGTTTGTCTTGTAAATACTCATCAAGCTAAAATAGTGGGTTTAAGGCACATACACATACCAAGGCAATGGCTACGGTACAACCTAGGGCTGGGATATATAATGCGCACACACCAACACTAACATACTATATGTTGATGGTAGGTGTGTATAAGAATAGGTGAGCCAAAATATGCAGCAAAATATGCAGCACACCTACAATGAAACCAGGTGCATAATCTGTGAAAGGTTTTCGTGTTAAATTTGGGAGAGTTATGGTCTTTTCTTTTACTTACGCGTCGTATACATATGGCCACGAGTATAGCAGTGGACACCGGGAACCCAGAGCAAACGACTAAACGGCGAAATGACTTGAAACGAGTGCGGCACATACTTACAAAGAAGCGATGGTTTGCGACAGCTATAGCAATGGTTTGTAACATCAACCGCAGGTGTTTCGACGCGATATGTTACAAACGCGGACGGGACGGTTGAAAAACGAATAACACGAGAGCGCGGCCTTAGTCACACGTGTACATAACCACACCACGCTTCGTCTTATACACACTATCAAAGGAACACCCACGATTTTTATATGTTACCAGATGTAAGTGTGTGCTGGATATTTTGGCTCGCCTATTCTTATATACACCTACCGTCAACCTATAGTATGTTAGTGTTGGTGTGTGTGTGCAATACATCCCAGCCCTTAGTTGTACCGTAGCCTAGTAATGAACCTCGTGCAATCAGAACCACCGTCCTGTTGCATACACAAATACACCACGCCCTATGGGTCACTTCACAATGTACGACACCATTTGCTCTGTGTCCGCAAGACACCCTTTGCTCTGTGTCCGCAAGACACCATTTGCTCTGTGCCCGCAAGACACCATTTGCTCTGTGTCCGCAAGACACCATTTGCTCTGTGTCCGCAAGACACCATTTGCTCTGTGTCCGCAAGACACCCTTTGCTCTGTGTCCGCAAGACACCCTTTGCTCTGTGTCCGCAAGACACCCTTTGCTCTGTGCCCGCAAGACACCATTTGCTCTGTGTCCGCAAGACACCATTTGCTCTGTGTCCGCACGATGCACAACACATACATGTATTATCTACTTCATGCATGCATACGTACGCAGGTACAGCGCGTGTGTATACAGTAGGAACGTATGTGCTCCTATTATAAGAACAGCGACGACACGTGCTCAGAGGTGCAGGAAAACGGGAGCCTTTGTCCATAAGAGTGTGAAGTAGAGTAAACAAACAACTCTATTGTTCGGCCGCCGCTTTGAAGTCAACCACGCAACTTCTGAGGGAATCGTTGCGCAACACTCTGCCGGCTACTGAGTGTTGTATATATATACAGCCAACTGTATGACGGTCGCACCCATCCACACCCATGCCTATAGCTTGTTCCTGTAGGTTCCCCTTACAACCATGGGGAAGCCTGGGATATCAATTTTCTGACACTATTTATGTATACATGTATGAGAAAGACGGCCTAAACACAACTTTCTCTCCTAGAAAGTCGTATACATAAAGACCACGTACACAGTTACGAGTTCTTTTGAAGGATAAAAACTGAGGTTTCCTCAGGATGGGAGCCAAGGTAGCAATTTACAATGTCAGCACAGGGAAACCCTATTATTTGCTTATGCATGAAACTACACGTGCTTATTATGTTGCATTACATAATAGCTAATGATACATTCTGTCGCATTACACAATGGTAATACGAACCTCCTATAATGCATGCTTATGTCACATAATGTATATACGTGAAACTCTCTCGAGGTAGGTATATATATATATATATACACCCTTTAAATTTGGAAACCTTTCCAAGACACAGTCTTAACTAAGGACACCTGTCTGTCCTATTGGTGTCCGCATTATAGGGGCCTCACGGTAGGAATGGTTATGTCATATTACATAATGGCAACATGATCTGCACCGTCCCCATCCTCGGTTCTCCACAGTGCACAGTACTGAGATATAGAGACTGCTCCCATTACAAGTAGAAAGTTCTAGAACAGACAGTGTCTGCCCTCTCAGCTGGTGGTGCCATCATTCCATGTTCCCATGTACAATATTATGTAACACATTCATGTGTTACAGAGAGGGTACATGTGATTTGTTCATTTCGTTCCCCAGCTGATTCTTGGCAAATCAGATGATAGGTCTTAGGCAGGTTTAGTGATATAAATGTAGCATCAGCTGAACTGGGAACCCACATCACTAGCTAATAGTGTACAGCTGTTTCTCAAGGACTTTTTCTCAGAACTAAAGCTGCACAGCAAAGTAATCCACATGTGTAGCTGCATACTCTACACTCACTACAATGCTGAGAGGTAAATTGTACACATGCATATCTACACACACCTTGAGCTTGCCGCACAGCCAAAAAAAGTTGAAGAGGTTGCGCACACCATGAGAAGAGGACGCCATACTTTTGCGTGGGTGTGCACACGCACACAGACGACATATGACACACGAACGCACACGCACGGACACGCGCACAGAACAAAGTTGCACATGCGCCGTGTCCCAAGTGTTTCCGGCCGCGTATTATACTAGCGCGTGGTTTTAGCGAGCTGTGTGTATTTTAGCAGTCGCCTGTCGCGCCTTCCCCCAGTTGAGTGCCTTTCTCACACAAGCTACTGCTTCGGCTCTTCCTCTTTTCTCTTTACTCCTCTCCTTCTCTGCTTTTTTGTTTGTTCGTCAGCAGCGCGCGATCGCTGTGAGCTACTGATCCGCCGCTGCTCATCCGAATCGTCCTTCGAGACCTTCGAAAGTGTCTTGAAGACACCCCAAAAAGACGGCTACCCGTCACAGTTTGAGCGAATAAGTCGCTGGAACCACTGCGGCCGCTGCAGTCTACACTCGTAGGAAAAGGAACTGTTGCCAATACCGAAATCCGGTGCTGAATTTTTCGTCCGCTCCACTTTCTGCCAGCAAAGGAAGAAGATGAAGCGCCACCTAAGCGACTCCGAACCCGACATGTGCGACGATTATGACGAGTGTTCGAGGTGAGCGCTGACTCGGATCTGTGCGCTAGCTCCGCCTGGCGGCTGGGGGCGAGCGGGGAGTGTAAGCTCAATGCAGCTAGCTAAGATCTAAAGTAGAGTTCGCTGTTTGAACAGAGAACTTAGGGACGCAAAAGGCTGCGGACTCACGCGGCCTTTGCGGGCATACCTTCCGTCCACGTTTCAACTCTCTTTTTTTTCTTTTCTTGCAGCCCGGATACCGCACATGTCGTGTCCAGGAAGAAGCGTCGCGGGGTAAGTATAGTTAACGTGTATACTACTGGCTTGTTCAACTATAACAACAACGCCTGCAAGTAAAGGTGTTTACTGGTGTTTTTTCTACAGATCATTGAGAAGAGGCGCCGTGACAGGATCAACACCAGTCTGGTGGAGCTGCGAAGGCTTGTTCCCGCTGCTTTCGAGAAACAGGCATGTTGACACTTCCATCTTTACTTCTCTCTCTACCCTCTCCCTTTCCCTCACCCTCTTTGCTCTTGTATATAATCTCCCCCTCCAAGTTATCATGCGAACTTTGAACCCCTATTACAACCGGTTGTGTCTGCTTACATTCATAGGTGGCCAATCTATCTCCCTTGCTATGGCAACCAATTAGTTCCCTGGCAACCTCCGTGGTGGCTAGATGGTCCCTAGAGGGGAGGGGGTGCTTTGCTTGGCTTGCACCGTTTACTTCCTGCCAAGCTGTATTCATATTCCCTAGTATGCTTACTCTGTCTGCAACAAGTGATAGAGGTTGATGTGTTTACGCTTATGCTTGGTTGACTAAATTTAAAACCGTCAAATTAAATTTAAGGTCCTTTTAGTGTAAGGCGGCACAAGTTGCCGCCGCCGTTAAAATGTTATGATTTTGATTTAGTGCCTACGTCACTTTTGTCTATGGTTGCATTTCCCACATTATAGACAACATTGTGCAGACTATTTTGCCGTGTTTAGCTTGTGGTGCGATGTTTGCTTTTGCAAGAACAGTGTGTCGTGTGCCTGGGCGCGTGCATGTGTGGGCCGCATAGCGTGAAACTACATACTATGCATTCCAAGAGTAGCTTCACATACACAGTATAACATACAGTGGGAAAGTCGTCTTTTATGGCATCTGTGTTGAAAGAGGTAAAGGCTCAGGTATGGTGTGTTTGCATGCACGTGGTGGTGGATCACTCCTCTGACGCTCCCCTCAGAGTTGTGGGAACTCTAACCCGTGTAGAGTTTCCATGTACAGCGATAGCGGATCAGTGTACATTAGACACGTTTTCCTGAGAGTAAGGCCACACACACACACACATTACGGCTGGGCCAGATCACCGATTACAGTGCCTGCTGTTGTGGGCCACCTATCTACCCACAACAATGCCGCCTGCCAACACCATACACCCTCCTTGGGTAGAGCCTAGCGTGGACACACGCCCATTTTGACACATGAGAATGAGTGGACACACGTTGGGTGTCTTTGGCCTAATTCATGGCCTGTGTATTATGGAAAGCCACTGAATTCAATTGTGGGCTACGCTTGCATCAGAGTGCGTGAATTTTAGCCTTTTGCATGAAGTTTATAGAGCTGGTAGTAACCACCCGGTGAAAAAGTTTGTACTTGTGTGCCAGAGCCTTGTTCGGGTTGATTGCGGTCTGGATGTAGACCCTGAAGTTCATTGAAACGGGAGATATTTCGAATGCTGCACCCTTGCTCCCAAGGCATGACCTCACGCATGGTGGGTGGACAAGCTTACCAACAATTTGGCCTGGGGAAGGAAGTGATTTACCTGGACTATTAGGCCACCCACATGCCCACCCAAAGTATGTATGTTGAGTGTGCGTGCACTTGCGTGGGTTCTTAGCGCGTGGGAGGCACATTTCTTAGTGGGAAGCTTAGCTTGTGTCGGGGCTTGAGTCAAGGAAGCTAGTGCCACATGTGTTGAGCTAACACAAACAGTGTGGCAAGTGTGCGTGCTTCCACTTCTAAAGTGGCAAAGTGAGCGTGACACAGGGGCCAAGGCATGCCAGGAACTTCCTGTTTCCCACGACCTGATAGTAGCAGTCTGACCACCCTGTCACTCACTCAGCCATAGAACAGCTCTTTGTGCATTGGGAAAGGATACCACAGAGCTTCTATGTCCTGGCTTGTAAGCAGCGGAAGACAGGGAGTTCTTCCAAAACCTAGACTTTAGGTCAACCTGTTTCCACACTCTAACCCATTGTGATACAACCTTCAATGGTTCCAGAAATCTTCAGGTTTCCAAGGCTTAGGAAGCTCCCTCTCTTCTTTTCTATCAAAAGGTGGTTTGTGTATTATGAAACTCCTGAAAGAGATTAGTCAGTCTGTTAATATGGCTACCCCCCTCCCTTTGATGACGGATACCCATCCTATTGGCTCCATTGATTTACTGTGGGTTTCAAAGTAAAGAGCTGTCAAATGAGTCTTTAGCATGCTACCCTTTGATGCCTAGGCTCTGGTGGGTGGCTATTGTGTGTATGCAAGTGAGACAGGCTGTTTGACTGGTCCGCCTTCCGGTTTGGGTGCAATGCAACCCCCCTATCTGATAGCAGTGGCTAACTTTTTACTGCCAACCCATTAAAATGTTGTGGCTCTATCAAAATATCTTCTGGCAGGGGTGTACATGAAGCGTCCAGTGCTGTTGGCAGTGGCCCTGGCATGGGCATTGCCTACACATACATAATGTGGAGTGTCAATTGCACGAAGAAGTAGTGTGGGGTCTTGTACACTGACAACATAACCGGCATAACTGCATGTGTGATTGGCGTGTAAGGCTGTGTGTACGTAGTGCACGTGTGTGTCTCGGAATTGGCTGGCTGGCTGGCTGGCGTGTGTTTTCATTCCTTCGTTGGGTGTGTGCAAATTGGGACCATAATCTAATGACTCTTGGAATCCGTGTGTCACTCATTAGTAGTAATTCCATCCCTCTCATGTGCTCTGTATGTAGGGCTACCATCAAAATGTTGGCAATAAGCTGCGTCGGTTCGATCTGTTATAGCTTCTTATTCCTTTCTATTCTACAATACCTACCTAGTGTGCAAGTGTGCGAGGCAATGCAAATGATACTTTCTTGTTTGCTCCCCCCCCCCATATAGGGCTCTGCTAAGCTGGAGAAGGCCGAAATCCTCCAAATGACCGTCGACCATGTGCGTCATCTTCACCAGACTCGTGATGCCCGCGGTAAGAACCCACGTTGCTTTTACTACTGTGTGCCTCAAATGACATGAATTTCCCCATTCTGGGTTGGCAAGCGTGGCAGTGCTCAGTATACAGTAATATAGTATAGGAACCGCTGTAGCACCTGTCTTAATAGAATTTCCTTGAGTTTCCTTCTTGGCAACCTTATTTACCTCGTTTTATGGCGACCGGAACTGGCCAATCAGATTAAGTACACACAGCTCCCTGGGTGGACTTCTTTACAAGGAAAACAGTCGACGGTTTTATGGTAGGATCGACTAAACACGTGCTGTCCACAGCCTGCCTCCTGCATGTAGGTTTAGGCCCTTGCCAAATCGCGCTTCTGGCACCTGGCACCTAATTTAGTGCGCTGCCCGCCAACACACAGTGATGTCGTGTGGGGAATGGAGTTTATAGAAGGCTTAATTTAATTGCTTACTCTGTACGAGTGCTGTTCGTGACAAGGTTCAAATGTATCGGGTAGTTGTGGGTGTATCTGAGTCAAGGCGGGCCTGGATAGAACTAGTAATTGTAAGGAATTTCACCTGTAACTCCATCTATCATCCCTCCCCCTCCCTCTGTCTTTCCCTCCTTCTTCCCCCTATCCCCTTCCCTCTTCCCTGTCCCATTCTTCATCCCTCCCCCTCCCTCTCTCTCTCTCTCCCTCTCTTTGTCTTCTCAGGATTCACAGACCCATACTCTGCTTACGGGAACACACGTGCTTTTCTCGACTATCGCCTCATGGGTTTCAGGGAGTGTGCAGCCGAAGTGAGCCGCTATCTCAGCAGCATTGAGGGGATCGATGCAAAAGACCCGCTGCGTTGCCGCATCATGGGACACCTTGAGAACTTTATAGCCCAGCGAGAGCTCGCCATCAATGCAGCCGTCGCTGCTAACGCTCAACTGGGACTGCCAAATGTTCTCCCGCCACCTTCCATTGCTCTCCCCACTACGCTGCCAGCCACATCGATCCAATATGGCCCTCTCACTCCACCTCGTGCGTCCCCCGACCACCTCTCGCCACCGGCCAGCATCGACCGCTCACTCCCGCGGTTCAACATAGCCTTCCAGACCCCAATCTTCTCCTTCGCGCCAACGGCAACCATTCCCGTTATCGGAGCCAACCCGTCCGGTTTCAAACCGGTTCCTACGACTGCTACTGCGGCCTCCATCTGCAGTGCCAACAAGCCCCCAGTGACAACCGGGACCGTTCTGACCCCACTCAACCCCCCCACAACCGTAATCAAAATGGAACCCTTCCCCCTTTCTCCACCCGACAGTGGAAAACTCCCGACGAAGGCCCCGTTTCGCCCATGGGCCGACACCACGAACGACTCTTGAACGCAACACGACCGACCACAAGCGACAGAATTGACACGGACAGTTATGTATGACTGAACGTGCAGACAGACAAGACAGGAGCAGCCCCTGCTCCGCAGCAACACGAGATTTTCGATCTATGATCAGAGAGACACGCGCCAACCATATATCGTGACGGAGATCAACCAATGAAGACAACAAATTCAAACTCACACAATTACAGTACTACAACCAAGCCAAGAGACAAATAAATTCGACAATTCAACATTCGCTGATTCTCAACTCCTTTCTCTTCTTTTTTTCTCTTCTTCAAGGCACAACCACAACAACCGAACAGAAGTGATTCCTTCGTGTTTCACGCAACGGAAACCTCCTCCTCAAGACATGACCACGTGGTTTTCTATTATGGAACCACTTTCAAACCCACACTGTGACTTTATAATCCCCACGTTAACGTTTTCGACTCCCAACTTTTGAACATTTCGAACTAACACAGGTTTTGACATTGTGTATAAACCTACACGCCTCGACCAACCCAACAGATACGATATTCACAATATTCATCCGTATGCACAATCAGGACTGATTGTCACTCCATGGGGTTATTGTTTTACGTGTAAACCTGCATAAAATAAATGTTTGTGTATGCGAAATAATTGTTTTGTAACGTAGTTGTCATTTTCCCCACAATTTTTGTACTGCCTTATGTAGGGTTAGAGCAGTTAGAGCTGCAGATGTTCTCAAGTGTGTAATTCCCAAAATTGTCAGTGATATACAACATCATTTATAACCAACTGTTGTTGTCATGTGAAGCTTTCAGTGCAAGCATTATTTGAAGCGTCAAAAGTGAGATTGATTAATCGTGTTGGGAAAATAATGATGAGTGCAAGTGTACTTTGCATGAGTGCACACATTATCACATTTCATTTACATAATAGAATATTATGCATACCCCCAGCAGACATTTATCTGTAATTTGCATGAGCAGTTTTGCCAACAATGCTTGGCCAACATTGCGTTTATCAGACCAGTGTGAGGTATTTATATATAGTGTATGGCAGCGCATGCAGCCTGGCAGTCTGTCTACGGCGTCCACGTTGTGTCTTCGCTGTGACTGATTTGAGAATTCCCTGTCTCCAGGTCATCAACTTGTATGGCATGTGACACGCAGCCATTTAAAACTAACACAATCAAAATACCATGATAATAATATGTACAAGAGGAACTCATAATAATGCACAAAGAAGGAAGTTTATTTTCATGTGTGTTCTCACAAACCCTTTCGTATAATAATTATGTTGTCACAATCGGTAGTTCAGAAAGTGATATACAGTATGTTATATACAAGTTCCCTGGTGTTGGCCTGGGGTGCACCTAAGGTGTGGGTGCAACGAGGTCGGAATTTGCTGGTGGTGGGCCAACAAGACACCCAGTGTCTGCCTTGTGCGACTCCAACTCAGAAGATGTTGAGTGTTTGTCAAGGCCTTGTCGAGTTATTGGCTGGCGCCATGACAAATGACCCACGTTGCCACTTTTACGCAGAGGCTGTTGCGAGCCTTCGCCAACGTGCGTCATTCCGCTGTCCTCCTTTTGCCAGCTTGTCCCCCAGCCCTCTTTCTGGCAGTTTGTAATCGGCTGTTCTTCCCCTGAGAAGATAATTTTCTCTGAATGCCGCTCACTCGAGGCTGGTATCGGTGTTTGCCCAACAGAGTGTCCGCATTTGTCGGGTTGCGGGCGTCGAGTTGGGGAAACAGTTGGGGATGGGTTGCTTTGGAGTGTTGTCGGGTGACAGGCAGGTAATTTGGTGGCATGTGATTGATGCAGTGGTTTGGGTGGCTGAGGTGCGCTCGATATCTCACCCGTGGTATTTCTAGGATGACCGCCAGACAAATTGGCATCGAAATTTGCAGCTAATCTGTGGCTCCTAGGGTTAACAGGGCACGGCATCCTCTTACGCTTATTCTCAGGAGACGTGATCACAGACGTTAATTGGTCACTGTGCGTGACTTTTCTGCCACCAATAGTGTCCAATGAGGGGGAGGGTTTATCTATGGCTAAAGGTGGGGTATCTGTTTGGAGGTCTCCTTCATCATTCAATGACGTTGCTACTGCCTGTGTTTGCCCACAGAGCCGGTCACCCGTGAGAACTTCTTTTGCTTCAACACCAACTGGTGATGCTAATTCCTTTCCACAGACACTCGATCCGTCATTAGCATTTCCCGGATCCTGCCTTTGTTGATGTTTTGAGTGCTCCGGCCTGTTCTGTCCGGTCTTTGTTGTGGGCTGCTGGTGGAGAGCAGATGGTGCGGACACATAATTTCTGTCATGCTCTGTGTGGGTGGTTGGCCCGGTGGGGGGATACCTCACAGACAGCTCATGCACCACTTCCTGCCTGGATGGGAGCCTGCTAGTAAGGGGGTGATCATGGACACTAGGGTCTTCTGCGACAAGTGGTAGAGTTCTGCTATTGACATCAGCGCTTGTTTCTTTATACACAGTGTCAGTATGATGAGGGTTTCTATCAGTACTGTCCACCAGGTAAGAACTTACGCCAACATTAGTGCTGGTTTGATGGTGGATACTGGTTTGATCAGGCTGGTCAACACTGGTGCCCATTTCATCAGTTGACATTTGGTCCCTGCCGGTTAGACTACTGGAACTGGTCAGGTTCAGTGACACTGAGTGTGCCTCATATACGGCTGAGACTTCCGAAGAAACTGCTTCCAGTGTCGAACAAGACTCAGATTTGGACAGAGCGGACGTCTTTTCAACTAGCACTGGTAATTCCGTGGGCTCTGGTGGCTCAGAGGACCGAGGGAGCGAGAGGATTTCTTTCCGGGAGCCTTCGAGAGTTAACTCATCCGTTGCAGGGTCCCCTGGTTTTGGGGACAGTGCTGCAACTAGCAGTGTGTTTGAATCTTCAGACTCTCCACACTCATACACCGCTCTCACAGAAACCCTAAGGAACATCGTGCATACAAAACTCAAGTGCATGCATATCATACCCATGCCTATCATACCTGTATGTTGAAGATGTGTCGAGACCCTCAATGTAAGCTTTATGTTTTGTTGGTCCAACCTAGTGCAACACATACAGAGCAATAGAGACATGTTAAATTGTATTCGGTTAGTATGCAAGACTTTGATGAAATGCAGGCATGACAAGCAATTACACACGTGTATAACTGAGAAATAGGGATATTCTGTTTGTACGTCAGACGTGGCTGAAAGGAAGGCATTAGATGTTGAATAGTAGTGAAAAAGGTCTCCATGGCTCATTAAGTAGTCGCTATTAGCCATGCCGGTCTAATTGAGTTTAGCATTGCAACACTTTGGTCGCTGTGCAGAGGAATGTACTATCTCTATACCTACGCAGTAGTTCCCCAACACAAACAGGCCACACGCTGTAGGGCAGAGCAGGCTAATACCATAGTAGCTCTTCTAACAAAAGGTAAAAGGCTCAATACCTCTACAATCACGACGCTGTACTTGTCTGTAAACATAGTCTGTGTGTACCGGATGGCCGGGGGGCATGATTGTCAGACTCATTTGTACCTGGTTGTATGGGATTGTTCCGCGTACTTATGAGTCACAATGGCATGTGTTTACACTGACTGCACTACTGTCGTGTCCTTTGAGTGTGGGAAGCTACTTACATTGCACATGTGCCATGCGCAACGAAGCGCTTTGCTCAGTGCACAAAAAGACGCAGTTGTATTGGGCACAACAGTAATATTGGAGCTCCCTTTTGTACAGAGTATTTAGTCTCTGTGACTACATTTTTGCGTGAAGGGGAAAGCACACAACAAAAAAGCAAATGTATGATGCGGTTATCTGCATTCCCAGCATACTTAACAGTTGGAGCAGATTATAGGCATCTACTGGAGCAGTTTGTGTTTGATGTGTGAGGCAAAACACTTGCAAGAAGCATGTAATTGGATGACAAATCCTTTCCAAGTAAAGTCACACCCACGAACATGCAGTTCACATAAAGGACCACACATTCAACAAAATTCCAACAAAACCTCAGGTTTTAGGTTAAACATGTGTACCATAGTCTATGCAGTGTCCAATTTATTCATGCACGGTTTAGGCATTTTCATTATTTTCACGGCACAGTATGAGGAGTGCCTCTAAACCGAAGCAGAAGTACATTAGTGAGGTGACATTATACAGTGGTTTGCATGCAATAACTGTTCTTTGGGTTAGAAAGGCGTCCTCATTTCAGGTGTGTCCACTTATATTATGGCATATAGAGTAGAAACACACCGCTGAGACTTGCTGCTACACAGGTGAGCAAGATATTCAGTCAAACGTGCATGTTGGTACTGGAGCAGAGCTCTGCATACACAGCAGTCTGGGACGCTAATTAGTCTGCAATCTTCGCTGACCACAGCCCAGATATATACACACTGATAGAGAGTGGCATAACAACACGGCAGTATACACAGAGCCTGACCACCAGCGACCACAGTACTCAAGAAAGGGGAGGGGGTTCGCTTGATGGAGTGACCTGATCGATCTCAGGCAGACAAAAACAATTTTCACATGAGTACATTATGGTACACGTATTGGTATGCCACACCATGGTTTCAAAGTATGTATGTCGGTATGATTTATAGGTGAGGCTAAACACAACACAAACCACAACAACTCCTAATTAGTACTTGGTGTGGGAGTTGGTGCTACGTACATTGGGATACAGATACTTCAAACTATAGCTAACTGAAAGTCTCCCGATCCCTTTTTATCTGCAAAAAAGGGTAACTGGCATAAGCACTGGCCCCAACAAAGGGGCGGCCGGCAAGCTAGAGCTCGTGTAGGCCCAACACCTGTTGCCACTGGCCTTGTCACAAATACTGCCAAGACTGGGAAGATGAAAGCGACATCATTGTTTTGCCAGCCAGCCCCCTCCCTAGCTACTAATGTAATAGCCCTGTCACCTATAGCCAGCGACTGAAAGGGCACAATGGTGTCACAATAACGATTAAAAGTGCTTGCTAATTGCTGGAGATGAAAGAGGTTTATATAGAAACCGTCTCGTGGCATGAAAGGACAGACAAACAGCCGCAGGAGATATCGCTTACACATACTTATGTATACCTACACATACCCCTATTCAACGTACGTAAGTTGGCGGTACATAACTATAATAATTATGCAAAAGGGTGTCACGCATTATATACATACACACACGCACACCGCAACACGGGTTGTAAAAGCGAACTGGAGAGTAAACAAAGCGTCCACTCCCACAAGGACATCATGATCTAGAGACGGTGCTACGTATCTATCGCTGAAAACAATGTCGCTTGCACCACCCTACAGACGATACATCACCCACCACCCACAGCAAAGCGACAAGTGTCCAGACTGTGATATAGGTGGACATGTACCGACAGCAGATTGACCACTGTTCGCCGCAGCAGCAGTAGCTCTGTAGTGTCAGGAACAACCCACAGCCATGCAAACATTATCTGTAAATTGTGTATAGTTACGCTATATATAAGTGTATAATAATTATATCACTCATTTTCTGTACTATACTTCATACACATACGTACTACACTGCTCGCTCATTCTCTGTATACACAATGTATAGTGTCATACATACACAAAACATGTGTAGAGTACATAATTATGTGGCTAGATGAGCAGCTAAAAAATAATTTTTCTATAACCAATTACGTTGCACCACATAAAAAACAAGATACTCTATTCCTTGCAGAACCACTTTATCGCACATGTTGAGCTGTTGGAATAAAATTTCAACGTAATCCAATTTGCCTACAAGGGTGCACTTAATCTACACATTAGTTTATTGGCTAATAAGACCATTAAAGATGTGGTGGACACACCTGGTACTTTTTTGGCTAATCTCATTTCCCATCAGTTGTATATGAGACATGCACACAGACATGCAAGGGCCACAGGGCTATATTTCTTGTCCGTGTCAACTTTCATTGCGACTTGTTAAAAATTGATACACAATACACACCAACCTGCCAGAAATCTTTGTTCTGGCAAGGATAAACACTCAACCACACGAATGAAAAAGACATGGCCTAAAGCACCGTGCTTACCACTGATGAATGCACATGTGTAATATAATTATGTGCCCAGGAAAATTCCAACACTAACTGTTGAAAAGACATGGCCTAAAGCACCGTGCTTACCACTGATGAATGCACATGTGCAATATATGTGCCCAGGAAAATTCCAACACTAACTGTTGAAAGACATGGCCTAAAGCACCGTGCTTACCACTGATGAATGCACATGTGCAATATAATTATGTGCCCAGGAAATTCCAACACTAACTGTTGAAAGACATGGCCTAAAGCACCGTGCTTACCACTGATGAATGCACATGTGCAATATAATTATGTGCCCAGGAAAATTCCAACACTAACTGTTGAAAGACATGGCCTAAAGCACCGTGCTTACCACTGATGAATGCACATGTGCAATATAATTATGTGCCCAGGAAAATTCCAACACTAACTGTTGAAAGACATGGCCTAAAGCACCGTGCTTACCACTGATGAATGCACATGTGCAATATATGTGCCCAGGAAAATTCCAACACTAACTGACATCGCCTAAAGCACCGTGCTGCCAGTGATGAATACTATACACGTGTGCAATACAGTCCCAGGAAGATTCCAACCCTCATAACTGCCTCTCAACGTACCATCCCTTCCTCCATGCCATTGACGTACACTCTGTAGCCAAGCAGGGTTGAGGATCCACTGTCTCCGGCCTTCCACTCTAGTAGAATGGTGTCTGAAGAATGCTTGCTCATTCTTAGCGCCACTGGAGCTGGCAATGATATCACTGCACAAAAAAAACAGCAGGGCAGAATATTATTTCTATAAGCCACTAAGGAGTTTCAATTTTTTGCCACAACCACAATTACGCCCACCAGGCCAAAAACCTCAGGTATAATTATACATGTCCGCTAATGCTTCTTGTGCTGCTCGGCTAGTGAATACATGTCTTGCTTCTGTTTTGTTTGTGTGTTTTGTGCGTTTCCTGAATCCCATTCTCGTTGCTTCTTCTTTCTTCCTATCTACCAGTGTATATACACAAATAATGGTTACGTGTACTATCGCTTCTGCCTGTTGCTCTAGGTGTATGGTAGATGGCCACAAAGTGCTATGGCTGCTACTGACTATTACAAAACTAGACCATTGTGGTTTTCCTTCATGCCATGATATGTACTATAGCCGCGTGATATGAGCCTGGGGGTATAGCTAGCTTGGGAATATTGTCAGTAGTTAGCAAAGCTCACCTGAATCATTGTTCACGGAAATCTTGTTGGAATCCTCTTGCAATAAATCCACCTTTTGTTCCAACTCCCTAACCTGCAGATAAACAAAGCCGATGCCATGTTCATGCATGCATGAGGATCACAAAGTGGTGCATGATCATATCAATCAAATTGCCGCTGCAGCTAATCTAGGCTGCTAGACAGTAGACAACCTTTTTCCAAAGCTGCCATGTGTATTCGAACCCACGACACTCTGCAGTCTTGGCAGAATGCTCGTACCCACTGAGCTACCCTCAGCAGGCAGGGGCTCAAATCTACAACGCAAGGCAAAGCAAGGTAAAGGAAAATGTCAACTAACTGTGCTGTGGCACACGTCATGCTCTTGCAGGTATGCGTAATGTACCAGAAACCCCAGCTGTGCCACTCACGTACGTACGTGAGCTACAACTGCAACAGGCATATAATATAGTCAGTGTTTACACAGATTAGTCGACTCCCACTTCTGAAAGCCTCCACGTGCAGTCAGCACAGTGTATATACCCACACGTCATAAGCTTGGCCCACACACACACACACACACGGCTAATACTCCTCGTATTTTGGGATAGTAACGAGAGAAGCAAAAAAGCAAGCCAAGTATCGCTACAAACAGCTACCAATAGCTACAAATAAAAGGTAATTACTTGGATCAGGCAAAAATGTGCCTAGAGGGAAAGTAGTGTAACTAAAGCTGCAAGGGCATGCAGCTCACAATATAACCTGCATATACACCCTGCTTGTTCCATGTGTATGTATGCCTGTAGTCAGTTGGTCATTTGCTAAGTAGTTGTTGACAAAAACCACATTAATCAGTCCTCCCTCGAGCCTGCCAGAGTCCCAATAGAGGCTGCTGACTATATTGCCCTGCCAGGCTAGGTAGGCAATAGAGGCTGCTGACTATAATTATCGCATTGACATTCTTCCACGTTCTTTGGTATGAGCTAAATAAGCTCATTCGTAATGGAACGAAGGCGGATTGGTACACATGCGGCATGGCATGCGCGTCTGTTTATATGGCATCTGACTTACTGTGTGGTCTGCACAGGTTACGTATGCATAGAACATCTGTAGTCGGCTAACGGATAATATACCGACGCTCACGTCACATACGACTTTCTGCAATGTTGCAGAGTAAGCACTTTTCAGTTCAGGGATCACATACAAGTCAAAGTTATACAATACCCGTGTTACTGACGTATAAGAAAAGTCTTGCTTGTGCTTGCACTATCCATAGGGCCACACTTATTCAAGACTACTTATCAGTCACTTAGTGGGCTTTTAACCTTCCTACCACTGTTTGCATAGACTCCTAGGGGCATGTGGCATACCTAGAGTGGCCATTGCGTCATGATTAAGAAAACTGCCCCTCTGTTACTGTATAGGTCACCCCTCTGTGTAACTCTGTTCTTACAACCTAGCTCCCCCTGTTGCACACACATGTTTGTAGCAAGGAACAGCTAAAGGTTACATGTCTCAGTAAGTTGTGGCCAGGGAACAAGTATAGCTACCCACAGATTTCGTGTAGCGGGTTGTTTGAAAACTCGAAATCTTGTCCTTGCCTCTACCCTAAATTGCGTATATCCCATATATAGCAGTTAGAAGGCTGCTTAATTAGTGTGTGGCTGGCCAAAACATGTGCTGCTTTTACCTGTGATTGCACAGTACACATACACCAGTGCAGCCCTTGTTCCAGCTAAGCACATGTTGTGTATCAAGTGACAGACTAAGAGCAAAGAATGGAGTGTTGCTTTCTTAACACTATTCCAAGCATTCCAAGATATGCCTATGGAGTTCCCTGAAGGCAAAGACCACCCAAATCCCTGGTGGTTCATTTGTCCAGTGGGACAAGGTTTATCAGGGGACAGTGTATCTCTGCCTGCTTGGGAGTCAGAGCACTCTGTCAGCATTGGAAAAGAACACAGTTTCTAGGCTTGCCAGCTCTCTCTTAGAGCCTTGAGTGCTTCATGATTGGTATAGACATCGCATCTGGATGGCGAAGTAACCTACACAACAACAGGTCATGGTTGGATTAATAGGTATTTGCTGCGCTGTCCTGCCATGCATAATAATTATTACGTGGCCTACGCATAACATTACGCTATCTCCTCACTATGAAGGATGATAAAATTTTGTGCATATGTGGGACATGCTGCGGTGTGAAATACAGATCTGGCGATGGATCATAAACTACCACTCCTTACACACACACACACACACACACAACAGATAAGAACCTATCATGCCACTTCACTAATGCATATACACTCCCACCCTTGCAGTTAGTATACTCAAAGATACACCTATTGTATATACAACTGTGCTGTAGGAGGAATTTGGTTATCCTAGTCCACTCTTAATAATACATTTATCGTTCCAAAGGTGACCTCCCTGGAGCAGGTAGAAGCGAAAACAATAATGGATACAGCGGTATAGTATCGTCACAGCCAAAGTGGGCCTTCTACTTTAGTTGTAGTGTATTATGCAATTTTGCGTCTGATGTTGCCTATAGACAAAACCTTTTGCTAATATTGGATTTGCTATATATTAGTTATGCCATGGGTAATAGTTATGTAATAATTTATAATAGTTAATAATAGTTGTGTAAAAAGTTTGCTGCCATTCGTAACAGCCAGCACATATTCGTTAACCCTTTTAGTGATGATCTGTGTGAGTTTTGTGTATGGACGCAACTCTCCTCCTCTGGTTAGAGCTGTTTCCTGTTTCCGTGTAAAATAACACGATGATGGGTGCCCTTATAATCCCATGGTATTCCCCAAAACCATGACACTACCTATGAGGGTATACACCCTATATATTTTGAGGTCGTATATAGTAAGGCTCCCTCTATGTTTAGTAAGCAGAGCTCCTTAAAATGAGGATACAAACAGGAACGAATCCACATAAAAATGGAAGGAAATGCTAGACCATAAATTCAACGCATTGTGGAGATCAAACGCAAGTGATTCATGGTGTTAGCTCATACTCATTGTCATAGTGCAGAGCCGTTTGTATATACATAGCTATAACCTAATTCGGTTGACTCACTTCCCCTTTCTTAATTAATTAAAATACTATTTACTTCCTAATCCTGTTTATTTCCTGACTTATGTAACCCCTAGCCTTTGATCTATCACTTAGTAAATGGCTGAAGGCTTCTTTCCAGACAGACTGACAGACTTCCCTTTATCCCAGGCTGCCTTACAACACAATACCAAAAAGAGAAGTTGACTTTCCACACAGTGGCTCTCTAGCGGCCTTGCTCTTGAGAGTACCAGAACAGAAGCAGGAATAAAACACATTCAACAATGCACGTAACAGCTCCCTGGGCGAGGCAACTTTTCAAACACTGTTTCTGTACCAAGAACTGTCTTGCATGCGATAAAACCCCTGGAACAAGGACACCTCGCTGACCGTTGGTGTCCAGAGTAATGTATTAGTATGGGGCAGAACTACAGTGGCTTTTGTAGAGAAGTTTGGAGTTAACTTACAGACAACAGCCAGCCCCATATATACTGAGAATAGGGCCGTACGTGCATTTACAGAGAACAGACCCATGCATGCTGGCGTGATTTCAGATTTGAGGCGTTCCACCGTGTTGCCTTACATCCAAAGAAAAAAAAGTAGTTTCCCAAAACTCGATCCAGTTATACACAAACCAATACCTAATACCCCTAAATTTTAGGTCAGCATACGTACGTACGTAGGAGTGGATTATGCTACCCTTCATTCAATAGAGACCTCATCCACAAAACCCACCGTATCTTCACATGCCTTCACGGCATCGAGTGACAGGACATACACCCACAGACTTGTAACTGACCACAGGTATGCTGCTCTAGCATGCGAGGGACAGGAATAAGGTTCACTGCTGTACGATGGGAGCAATCAATGGACCATAGCACATACAACTGGAGCTTACAGCTGCAGACAGGCAACATATTATGTGTGGTGTACAAATTAACTAAACGGGAATAGACTAAAACTCCTCTCTAAGGACACCCCTGAAATGAGGATATCTCTCTAATAGCACACCTTTTCTTTCAGTTAAAAAAGATACCTCATTAATATGGACACTTTCTCTGTCTAGGTGTCAGGATTAAAGGCGCCCACTGTAATATTCTGGCATGAACCCAAAAATAAAAAAACTTTATTTGGGAGTAAATAATTTCGTACAGAGCTGGTTATGCAGTGTGCCATGCCAATCAATACACATAGAAAGAAAGATTGTGCTGTCTGGAGCCTTGTTTTAGCACAGAGACATGGACCCCAGTACGTATAAACCCACTGTGCATTGACGTATTGGTGAGTTTAGCACAAGATAGTTTATATCAAGGTGTAGGTGCATAGCTCACTAAACATAATATCAGAGGACACAATTACGGGTCAGTATATAGGCCGTTGTGTAACATTTCCACACTTCCACACTTCAAAGAGCAGAGGGGGTCAAAAGGATGAGAACCAAGTTGGTAATTACTCTATTGTAGACAGGCATGTCTGAGCCATTATCCAATATAGTCACTCAGTCTCGGCCCCACTTATAGCGGCTAGCTGTGGGGAGCCAGCCGGTGAGTAACAGAATATCAAGGCCCGGATCCACCAGCTGTGAAGTTGCGGCTACAGGATTAATTTCAGGCCTCAATGGGAGTAAAAAGCTTTGGTGCACGCCGCCAAAAGAGTGCTAACCTGCCTCCTCAGCTCACTGCACGCTGCCTGCAGACTCTTCACGTCCCTTTGCTGTGGAAAACAGTACACACGTGAGACAAGGGAGGCAACAAATTTTACACGGCGTTCTGCATGCAGGTGACAGCCAGCTAAGTACTACTTACATTGTCCTGCTTTGTCGTCTCGTGCTGCCGCCTGCGAAAAATGAAAAATAAGTACCAGAATTTGTAAATTTGCTCTGCTATGCGTCTGAAGGTCTTAGTCTTTCTGGTTTAGCAAAAACCTCAGATTACCGTGAAGAGTAAACTCGGGGTGAGACAGTTCTCGTATCAATGAGCACACGATCCTCTAACGGCAGATATCTGGTATAATTTTTGGGGTGTGGGCATAGCTACGTACGTAGGTAGTCTGGGCACAAGACTAATACGTAAGTAGTTGGAAGAGCTGGAGGCAGGAACATGTATGTACAGTGTGTATAGGAGGGCCCGTGTGTTTAACCCACCATCCACCGTCCAAGTAGGACACTGATACATAATAGGAGAAAAGTGTACCAAACACAAGCTAAAGAACCAGCATACACAGTACACATCTATACGTATAGCGTTACAGTTGCACACGTCCCCCCCCCTTGGTATGGTCTACAATATCCACAGATCATTCCACTTGTCTTGGGTTGATGATTATGGCACTGAGCTAGCTGCCCTGGTACGTAGCTCGGTAGGAAAATCTCCCTGCCTAGACTGCCGGTGCTGTTGGTTCAAGCCTTACCCAGAGGAAGTATATTTTGAAAAAAAGAGTTTCCTGGGTGTGGTTGTGCTGTTTTGCCCTTGTTGACCGTGTTTTATTAAACAATGGGTATAATATCACTTGTGATACTTGAGAATATTGGAGTTAGAAGATATTTGAGAATGCAATATCACTGGAATAAACATAGAACAGTTATAAACCGAGGAACTGGCGCAGACAAGGAAAATAGACGAGGCGGAAATATCAATCCAGTCGACCAAACAACCACGGACACGTAAACACCAATGTGTACTAGCCAATCTGCCATATGGATGGAACACAAGTACGTACGTGACATTGATATATACGTGTACAGACGACGTGGTGGTACATAAAACTAATACAACATAGAACAGGAGGGTGTATAGCACGCCATGGTGGTATCGTAATATGGATGAAACATGGAGTAGCTAGAGAACAGGGATACGTTACGGCGCCGTTTCACATAGCACGCCGGTGTTTTGTTCCACAGCCTCTTTTCTGTCCTCCTATATTACCACACGTCAAACGATAGTCTGAAACACAAATGAGTCGGTCAACAATGCGCATATACAAGCCCCGTACTGACCCGCAAACCTAATAAATAATACCCACACACACACACACAGTGTGGCCCAATAACTTGGACCGGTGTGATCACGTACACATAACACATATATAAACAACGCGGTGCATACAGAGTGTAATCCGGTTGAGTGGCTACAGTATATGACCACTGTGTTTGCTGCCACTCGCCACACAGTGCCAAGTTGACATGCAAAAAAATACCCACCAGCAAACCCTGATTCGATATGCAGTAACTGGCGCTAGACGGGTGGCTCTATCCGCTCAAAGGCAAACGTAATTCGATGTCCTTTGCTCTGCACACGTCTCACATTAGCGGTGGCTTGCAGGCAGGGAGCGGGCGCCAAATGCTCTGCCAGGGTCACAGAACTCCTCTCAACTTCAAAACAATCACGTGTGACACACTTGATTGTCGTAATAGTTGCTGTCGGCAAATCCAAGGACCTTCTTTATACAAGAAGGCAACTTTCATCAAACGTTTTGAGTTTCAAATATACACACCATTTCCTTTTCAACTCTTGGTTTTCTACTTAAATAACACCTGTTCGTTTGTTGACCACAAGCCAAGGTCATGTCACCTACAAACTTGTCTTACGTGGAGTAATCCAAGATATAACACTTTCTCTAATTCAGCGTGTCGTATAGCAGGAATCACATTACTTGTGTGGTTTGTTAATAAACAAGAATTGTTAGAATCATGCACATTGCCTGTTCCACAATACAGATGTCCTCCACCCAGAAAGAAACTTTTGCAGGTGTTCAAAAACCGAGAAATTGAGAAATTTCTGCCTCAAAGTCTCCCCCTACCCAACAATCTAACAAAGAAGATTAGCTACACTGGTGCTAAAGGTGCATATGTGCAAACGCGAGAAATAAGCTGAGGCGTGTAGTTGCTGCAAAATCGCACATTACTCAATCGTTGATTTTTACAGACAAAATACACATACGTAAGAGAGCCAGAAGCCGTGGCAATGATTACGACAAGAAAGGGCAGGTAGTAAGTAGTGTGTGATATGACGTTGCCTGCGTACAGATATGATGTTGGGCTCGTGAACAGTAAGTGATAAACCCGTTTTAAAGTAGTCGGGGTTTGAGAATCAGTACATTTCGGGGCATATTAGCCACAACAGTATCAATTTCCTAGCTGTGTGGAGAGGTCTGCTGGAGCCTACCTGACTCCACCACTCTCAATTGCAACCATACAAACATCCAACCTTTTGGCACATTATACGCCACAAAGCCCCGTACTCGAATGCGTCACTGACCGAGCCCTATACTGCAATACATCACACAATACGGCCACAGTATTACGTGTAGCAATGTACACATGCATCACCTGTGCATAATACAGACACACGAAACATTTAATGTGGTTTCCAGTGGCCCGAGACCTCTGTCGTGCCTTAATACAGTTATCGGTAGAGTCCCTGTTTCGTCAAACTGCCATTGTAGTCAATAGTTATGCGGAAGATCAAAACACTTGCACGGCTATGTTTGGTCGTAGTTAATGCAATCACGAAGGAGGGGGGATCATAAGGCTGTGGCTAGACACTGTGTAGTCATAGGTTAATACGAAGACTCGATTTAGAAGAGGGGTGGAGGTTAGTGTAGAATACGTGATCTTCAAACGCTGCTGCAAGTGTCATCGACACTGTAGAGCGAAGCCGGAGACAGGAAGTCTGGGGATGATGTAAGACATGTATGGAAAACAGGCGCAGCAGCAGCAGTGCGACTGCCGATGAACCCACACTCGTACACGAAATACAAGAAACACATGACGCGTGTGCCACATCAGGGGGGGTACATACAGACACATGTGTTCAAACAAAGCAAGCACACTATATCCAGTACTAGACAGATACAGCAGTTACACTCCCCATACTGTTGTGTGTACATCATCCCCATATTGTTGTGTGTACATCATCCCCGTACTGTTGTGTGTACATCCTCCTCCCCGTACTGTTGTGTGTACATGTACAGAGGTATGCACAGTTGGTGTGATGCGCACGGAATTCTCAAGACTTTCGACTCCTGAGCTCACAGAAGTAAAGCATGAGCCTTCTCCCCAAAGTTGGTTCCTCGTGAACTGATGGAGGTACGTAGCAAAGCAGCGTAGGTTTTCTTATTCCCAAGTTATCACTACTATTCCCAACCTACACAAGCAGCATGGAGGTGCTTCTCTTGTTCTTTGAGTGCTAATGCGTACTACATGACTGTGTCTTGTCTTCCTGGCACAAAGGATGGTGGTGCACGGGGTCTAGCATTGATTTTTTATAATCTCCTGGGCTGAAGATTTTTCTTTCTTCAAGGATTCGTGTGTAAGCCGATCACTTGAGCACTGGTTGTGGCGTTGTTTGTAGGTTGTCTGGCAAGCAAAGCCATCTTACCCGGTCTGACATGCAATAATTATCCCACATGCATGGGTGTGTGCGGCCTGTTTTCTGCCAGGCTGCAAAAGACGGCTTTTGTGAACAAACTCTGCACAGCAGGTGAACACAATCACAGAAAAGGCAAGGTCGAGAGGCAAACCAACACCACTACACCCGAGACAATTCGACGAAAAAAAAGAGCTGCTATGGGTGGAATTCAAACCCGTGACACCCAGCAGTTTAGCAACAGCCCGTAATTAGTAGGTACATGTACGTACATTGTTAGGCATGTGAACGTATACCTACACATATGTAGCATTCCACAACCAACCAGAGGGACAAGCTGCTGAACGAGGTCGTTGAGTGGTTCAAAGGCATACCTGCCCACCAAAAATGTATTACATTCGAGGCATTCGCCTTCTAAGGTTCTCTGCACTGATGAGCTACCATAAGCACCACAAGTGATTATGTATGTATGTATATGGTCAGTGTACATAGTTATCACATGGGATGTAAGGCAGTGGCGCTGCCAATGACCGAGTTGAGACTGCCTGTAATTTGGTTTAATGGAGAACAGAGTACACATGGTTTGGACTCAAGACACTACAAACCACGTTCAACACAGCAATGATAGTACAGTGGAGTCAGAACACACTTAGTACGAAATTCTAACACACCCTTGGAGCCTAGCCCTATAGAACGCTGTACATTTTCCACTTCCTCTTACTGTGAACAAATTCTTTAGGTCCCCAACGAGGCTCCACTGTACTGCACAAAGTATGCTTGGTCTCACACTTTATAAAACCACCAAGCAGATCACATTATAAGGTGCACACATATTATGTACGTGAACATAAGGTATATACATAAGTCACGCATACATGTATGACATATACACATAGTTGGCATATTATGTACGTGAACATAAGGTATATACATAAGTCACGCATACATGTATGACATATACACATAGTTGGCATATTATGTACGTGAACATAAGGTATATACATAAGTCACGCATACATGTATGACATATACACATAGTTGGCATATTATGTACGTGAACATAAGGTATATACATAAGTCACGCATACGTGAACATATACGTGGTATTAACTTACCAGTGTCTTTGTATAGTACTGGCTGCCCTATTCAGCGTGTCTCCATCCACTTGTCTCTTCCATGAACTTAACCTCTCCACCTACAATCAGACAGCACACAACGCATGGCATGCCGCACTTTCATGCATGGACGGATACCTATGCTGGAGATTTTTATTGACTGTGTGTATGTGTGTATGCTGCACGAGCTTTAACCCTCATGCTTTAACCCTCATGCCTAGTATACAACAAATACACAGCACACAACGCATGCCGTACTTTCATGCATGGATGGATACCTGCTGGCAGATTATATTCTTGTATGCTGCACGCGGTAGATCATGTTTTGAATGCATTATGTTATGAAAAGCGCTAGCCAGCGATGAGATTTAGTAGCCTGTTTTTAACATTTTTTCCACGTGTTAGTGCATACGTAATAGGAATACCTCTTGTATGAGAGAAGATATGGTCTCCTCCTGAAGCTGAACGACTTGTGCCTGATGGGCCATTTCTTCGCGACAGCTGTAGGAATAGGGACGGCGAGATAAAAGGCAAGGTAGGTACATGGGGGGTGGCGAGATAAGGCGAGATGGGGATAGGAACGGCAAGATACAACATTGACATTGTCTGTTACAAAACCTGTGCGATTTGGACAACTAGGTGAGCTAGCTTCGCTTACTGGCACCGCCACTTACAACTCAACTCTTTAGGGTCCATAGCGCCACTAAAGAGTTAACGGATTCACATATATTACAGGCACGTGAGTGAGTAAAAGCAAAATATTGAGTCTCTGTCCCATTTTTGAGCAGAGCCCAGAGCCAGGAAACAAGACAAAGAGATAATGGGTGTATGTATGTATACATAGATTGTTTGTACCCCTTCAACTGAAGGAACATGGCAGCAACATAACCCTCCATCTTCTTGCGGGAGAGTTCCCTCATTGCACCCACTACAACCGGGTCACGGCAACGTCGGCGGTACCCTCTCCTGCAAGAGGAAGACGCTCACAGTCAAACCCCTCAAACCGACCAACAGTCTGCAGCACCAGTGTTGGTCTTACAACAAGTCAACTTCAATACACAAACTCACCCGGAGGCACAATCATGAAAGTGAAAGTCAATTCTAATGGAGCGAGGGAACAGTGTAGTATGCATGCACAGTGGCTAATTTCAAAATTGTGTAAGAAAAATCCGCTCGCTCTGTGTACCTTGGGGGCTCAGGAAGTCACAACGAATGGCATGTATCGACTCCCGCATGCTATCTACTACTGTAGCTAGCCCGTGTTCTGACTCTCTGCGGGCTACTAGCGGAAGACCACGATCTATGCATGACTGTTAATGTTTCTTCACACGCTATCCTTTGCCAAGAAAATCATACTGAAGAGTCTAAGGAAAGGCTCCCCTAAGAAAAACAGACACCAAGAAGGGTATTGATAGTGGTGAGATATTAACCAGGTAGACTGGATGGTGATGGCTGCCTGTCGTCTGATCCTGTACTCACTGACACGTCGTCTGCAGATCACACCTCTCACCCAGGCCTGGACGGACACCGCTGCCTTCCGTCTCCCCATAGTATCTTCTCCACGGCCCACTGGCGGACCTAGAACGTCAGTCACACCCTTTCCATTGGTCGATAGACAAGTTCCAGCCCCTGTTGAGGTAGTACTGACTGTCTGTGGCTCTGAGTATTGATAAATGCTAGCCGAGGAACTGCTGGCTTTTCCAGAGTTTTGAGGGATCCTCCGTTCAACTTTTGCTTCCCGGTATCTTTGACTGTTAACCTCAGAGGACAATCTCGCTCCACTCTCTCCCTCGTTGAAACCACCATCTCCCTCTTCCCCATCTCCCTTCTTCTCATCACCTTCGTTCTTCAGAAGAGACGCATAAAACACAAATGAACCGCAAAATTAGTGATACAATACATACATTTATATCAGCAAAAGTCGCGTCACATAATCTACATAATCTACAATACCATTATGTACACAATGTACCGTATATACCTGATGAGACAGTGGCGAGGATGCGTGGGATGAGAAGTCCCATTCCTGTGCCAGTCTGGTCTCATTCCCATCCCCCAGTACACCCTGGAACCTGGTACCGGACTCTGACACGTCTCTACTACCACCGGCACCAGTCAATCCTGGACGACCCCATCTTTCACTGGTGAGGTGGCATGGTGGCGGGTCAATTGAAGACGAATACGTCACCTCTAGCAGGCTTCCTTCTGCCGTTCTCTCCCGTGACGGATCGCTAGCATCCACTATAGTAGCATCACTACTGCTCTTGGCTGAAGCATCCACTATAGTAGCATCACTACTGCTCTTGGCTGAAACTTGAGTAGCATCCACTATAGTAACACCACTGTTGCTTTCCACTAGAGCAGCATCACTGTTGCTCTCCGCTAGACCTTTACTAGCAGCCATAGCATTCGCTACAGTAGCATCACCGCTGCTTTCGGCTGATACTTGAGTGGCAGTCAGTAAGTATTGGGCTGGACCTTGAGCAGCGCTAGCATCACTATTGCTCTCGGCTAGATGTTTAGAAATCAGAGAACTCACCATATCACTACTGCTCTTCGGTAGACTTTGTGTAGCAGTCAGGGTCCCTAAGGTAGCATCAGTGCTATTTGAATATTGTGCTGTGGTCAGGGCACTCGCTATAGTAGCATCGCAACTGCTTTCAGCTGTACTTTGTGCAGCAGTGAGAGACCCATCAGTATCATTCTCAGCAGTGGTGAAGCTTCGAGTAGAGAGTTCAGCAGAGCTTCTGGTGTGCAGAGGGATATCTGAAAACTCTCGTCTCATTCTCTCCCACGAGGTGACTCCCGGGACTGTGGGTGGAGTGGTATCGACTGAGGAGGCAAAACTACTGCTGAGGGTAGTTGGTCGAGTTAGTGCATTAGTTGCTGCAGAATTCAGGTCTAGGGATCCATTAGGGTAGGACTTGGTGCATGACTCGTCATATCTCCCACCTGATGTTATTGGTTGAGGCTCAAGAAGACTGCCATGCTCCATTCCAGGTTGCATGGCTGCACTCTCTAGGGCCACATTCTCAGTCTCGATTCCGAGATCTTCATTTCCCAATGATCCGGTACAAGAGTCAACAGTAGTGGTGGTTTCTAAAGAGGGTGGTGGTGTGAGAGTTTCGGCGTTAGATCTCTGGATGGAAGATGATGAGGTGGGAACATCGAAATCTGGCTCATCTCCCTCTACCAATATTTCTCTTTCTCCTCTCTCCCCCTCCTCCATCTTCTCCCTGCCTCTCTCTACCCTTCCACTCTCCCTTTTCTCTTCTTCTCTCACCTCCCCCTCCACTCTCCCTCCCTCCTCTTCCCCTCTCCCTCTCTCCCCTTCCTCTTTCCCTCCTTCCCTCCCCTCATTGACTTCACCAGAAGCTGATAAACTTGTGTTCTGATTTCCACCAGTCCCTCCTCCCTCACCTCCCCATGCCATTCTCACTGCCCGAAGACTGCTCTTCATGCTCCAACTGGCCCCTAAAGAGACACAATAATATTGCACCATCCACGACTATGACTGAAACATTGTGTAGGAGGCATGAAAAAGGAGGCATAAACTTTGCTAAGAAGGTGGAGTGAAGGACAGGCCAACAAAAAATCTTGAATACACTCACTATAGCTGGAGTGTGCATTGCATGTGTCAACAATTTTGCATTTTTTGTAGGAACATCAATGCAAAAAGAGACAAGCGAACCATGCTTTAGAGTTTGACTATCTTTGTAGTATGGAATAGTAATACACTCTATTTTCCTACACCTATTCCTATCAATCCATCATTCACTGTACCTTTACCAATATTGTACAACATGTGCGTGTGTACCATCTAAGGCTTCAAACGCCTGTGAAGGTTGAGGTCTAATAATGTCTTCTTCTTCCATTGTCTCCAAGTCAGCAGTCAGTGTTGATGTATCAGTCAGTGAGCTGCGTGCATCACTTGTACCCACCCCTTCCTCCTTCTCCTGTGGCAGAATCTTATCCGATACCTCCTCACCAAACGGTTTTGGGCTGGTAGTATGAGTGTGTGGTGGTTGTGGTGGAGGTTTGTGGAAAGGCTGGTTTTGTTGTTCCGGTTGCTGTGGGTTAAGGAGACTCTCCTGTTCTGATATCATCTGCTCAATGACCTGATGTCGGCCATTAGATGAGAGAAGACGAAGAGAAAGAAAGAGGAGAAAGGAGGGAAGAAAGAGGAGATGAAAAAGTTGGCACTGTAAAAAAAAGTATGGGCTAACAGATTCTCTCATCGGGATAAAATTAACGTGTGAGGAAAGCAGACACAAGGAGATAAGGTCTAACTCTCCAGCAGGTGCTTAGTTAGCTATTACAGTGAAAAGGGGAGCAAGTGAGAAGAAAAAGAGAGAAGTGCTGCCAAAACATGCATTCAAATAGTCTCGTGGTGCAGCTTTCTAGCAGAAATCACCCTCTTCCCCAACTTGCAGCTTTCAGGTCGTTTTACGGAAAAGGAGCCTTCAATTTGTGTACCTGCAAAACTCTGAGTTTCTGGAGGACCTCGGCTTTCTGCCGAGGGTTATGCAGACTCATGGCCTGAGAGAGGAGAGAGTGGGTACAGGAGTCCAGTGACCGCGACGATGATGACTTCTCTGACGACTCCGAAATCAACTGGAGATGATGAAACAGTAGGTCACACCACTGCACTGTGCTAAATGTGAGGCACAGGGTCCCAAATTATTACTAAGATCTGTGCTAAATTGCGTACCGCGTGTAATGCAGAAAAACGTGGTTTACTTTATGCATACGTGCAATGCACAAAGTTTTGATTCGAGTTAATATGCCTGAAGTGCTACGTTTTATCCTCCCTTCTGTCATTTTTCTATGCATCTGGGAACTATAATCAAACTAAAATGCTTTGATATGTGCAGTACCTGGTTCTGGAGAATGGGAAGGGGACAGGCAGTCGTGAGGTACTGCACCAGAGGCTGATGCTGACCCAGCTGGAATGGGTAGGCGTGGTCGGAACGGAACAGGGACACTGAACGGAGCCTGAGAGAGGCACAGTTCATTACGTGTGGTATCGAAATCACTACGATTGTCATACTTCTCTTCGGCCCTGATGGGAGTACCATCCAATGATGAAAGTCCCGGACACCAATACGTCACATACGGTCTATAATCAAATAACCTACAGACAGCAGATAAGAACGGAGACAAAAAACGTAGCAAGATCCAAGAAAAGGCTCGCTTTAGTTAATTCAGATAAAATGTGGGCACACTAAACGCTAAGCACTCAGTCCTCGGTTAACTATGAGACGAGATAATCAGGCAAGATAGAAGTACGTAATATTATAGCTATGGATACACCTTCTTTCTGGTATAATATTATTGGCTGGCTTACATTGAATGATGGGTGAGAGAAACACATGGATTACCCATCACTGACACCTCTGTGAGCTCAGGTAGAGCCGACAAGAAATGATATCTGTGGAAGTACATGCTAATAATTTTGACACACTGTATATAGGTACAAATGTACCACCACAAACTTACTACCTTACTAACTTAGGATCATAATAATTTATTGATGCAGAGCGTTGTAAGGGTGTGTGATAATTTATCTGACACATTGTACAGCTATATGGCCATCATTTCCAATGGATGAAGTAATAAGTAATATTAATTACTCAATGGGTAACATTGCTACATTAGTACATCTGATAGATCTGCAATGTACCTCATTGAGGTCTTGAACGTGGTTCTCTGCCAGAGAAAGAGTGGAGAGCGAGGGAGGGAAACACTTTGGAATGCTGCAGGAATGTGCATACATTATGTATAGAACAACGTTGACTTGTGTGATCGAGTTAGAGTTCACCTTTTCAAGAGTTTTACAGCATTTCCATGCAGCAGAAGTGTCTGTTAAAATCAAACAGTTATGAGCAGTTTATCAAATGGACTGCAAAATATACGTACCTTCAGGTTTTGAAGCATTGAAATATTGCCGAGTTCAGTTATGCTATGGAGAATACAATGTGCATCCGATTAAGCATGAATATACAGTTATCCAATACACATACTTATAACCCTCACCAGTTGTCAGAAAGGTCTACATGAGCAAGTTTGGTATTCCCAGATAATCCTGACATAACCTACGGAGCATATGGACAAACACAACACACGCACACACCTGAAAAACTAGAGTATATATGTGGGCATAGAATCGACAAAAAGATCTTGATAGCTTAGATTGATGGTTAGTTGGTTGCTCAACAGTGCACACTACAGCAAACCCTTTACTGAAAAGTGTTACAGCTCATCAACATAACGTATAAACCTTGATGCTGTTGCCAGCTAGTCCGAGCCATTCCAACTGCTTCAGAGACTCCAGACCTTCAATGACGGTGATACTGTTGTTCTGGAGGTTGAGCGTGATCAGACTTGTCAGCGTGGACACTCTGCCGATGTCAACCAGATTGTTGGAACATACTGATAGCTAAAGAGAAATGGGAGGAGATGGGGGGAGAGGCATAGAATGAGACAATGGTATACAAGTAGAAGGGAATACACTGTGAGCAAAACAGAAAAAATACTAAAGAGAATTAAACAAGAATTTTGGCTAAAACAGGCTGTATGATCACCATGATCAATTTCCTAAGGGCCACCGTATTTCCAGTTAGTTATACAGTATGCACACAGCAGAGAAAATCAATAGGCCAGAGGTTACAATCAATAAGCAAAAAGAAGAGTAAGCATTTACACAGTAAGTATAGGGGGAAATATCTGCACATTGCATTAGTCTATTGACGAAATGGATGGAAGGGAGCATTAGACAGACTTCATGAGCTCGTTTGAAGGCCAACCTGAACAAGGGAGGCGAAGGTTTGTACTCCACTGAGGGAGACCAGTCTGTTGTTGTCGGCAGTGAGTGCGGCCACCTCTCTCCCTCCTCCCGGTATCTGGGTCACGTCTGATATGCCTCTACCTGTACGGCAGTGACCACGCACGTCATCGCGTCTGGGAGTAACAGGGGGTCTATATACCTGATACGTCCACCACTAGAGGTACGCTGGAGTTGAGCTGCTTCTCGGAGAACATGATGCTGCTATCTAGCTCTCTCGACCTCTCGAAACACACACGGCTGCTTCTTGACGGAGGGAGGAGTTTACGAACCCGCCAAACTCGCGCCATTTGTATGAGCATGCGCAAACACCCACGCTAGGTGGGTAGTGAAGAAGATGGAGCAGTTAGAGAACTTTATAGACGGTGGTTTCGTTGCTTGCGACCGACATTTGGAGAGCTACAACCCGGCCACGGGAGAGGTGCACCTTCAGCTCCCGGACAGCGGCGAGGAGGAGGTGGAGAAGGCGGTCCAGGCCGCCTTGAGAGCCTTCAAAACGTGAGCCTGTGTGCAGTAGCTAGCCATAATCTGTACATCGAGTGTAAAGCATTTCTAGCTGCGTGTTGCCTTATTTATGCATGTTATGTTGTCCGGTGAATATCAGGTTACGTAACATACACGTTCCTCAGATGGTCCAAAATGTCTCCCAAGCAGCGCTCATCTCTGCTGCTCAAGATTGCAGACGCCATTGAAGAGAGACTGGAGGAGTTTGCAGAGGCAGAATCCCGCGACCAGGGGAAGCCGGTCTGGCTGGCCAAGAAGGTGGACATCCCTCGTGCAGTCCACAACTTCCGGTTCTTTGGCACAGCCATCCTCCATACCCTTGACACGTAAGTAGACTGAGCTATGGGAATGTATGGAGCTTTTATAGACACACGATTGCAGTTTGGTGGGTTTGAATCCCACCAAGGAGAATAATGCTGCAGTGTTCTTCAGATAATCTATTTTGTCTCTGGCTCTTCAATAGAAACAGTGGTACAATGTCTGCACACAATCATTCACACTAAAGATGACTTTATACCATTGGCACAGACATTAGATATACAGAATGTATTGTACTACTACATATACACGGTAATAGTTACATACACAGTAATAGTTGAATAGAGCATACTGCACTTTCACACACACACTGTATTCCGCAGGTCTACAATTCTGTCTGAGGTTCAAGCCACTAACTACACCTGCCGGTCTCCAGTGGGTGTGGCCGGACTGATATCGCCATGGAACCTGCCAATCTACCTCCTGTCGTTCAAGGTTGCCCCGGCGCTGGCTGCCGGGTGTACCGTGGTGTGTAAACCAAGCGAGATGACATCGTGGACTGCTCACCTCATGGCTAAGGTCATGAAGGACGTTGGTGAGTAACGAAAACTGTGTCAACATGTAGCTTGGTACTGTGTGTGTGTGTGTGTGGAATGAAACTCTCTGATTTTCATACAAATTGATTTAGTGGGGAAAAATCTTTGTGAGGTTTTGAACACCATATAGAATTGAGGGAGGAAGAGTTTTTACCGCCATTGAGGGTTAATTCCGGGGTCCTCCCCAGGAATGCCCTGCTATACCTCTCCCTCTATCTCTCCCTCTATCTCTCTACTGTCCCTTCTTCCTACCTCTGCTGAACCCCAGGTCTCCCTCCTGGAGTGTGTAACATAGTCTACGGGACGGGGCCCAGAGCAGGAGAGGCAATAGTGAAGCATCCCTCGGTGCCTATCATCTCCTTCACTGGCAGTACTGCAGTAGGCCAGAGGATACAGAGTGTGTCTGCTCCCTTTGTCAAGAGATTGTCACTTGAGGTATACACATATACCACAGAGCACGAGTGCTTTAGAGGCCGAGATTCACAGCTTAGAACAGCTCTAAAGTCAAAGTGCTGATTGCAACGAAGTACTATAATTATCTCTCGTACTGTAATATGGACTACAGAACTACTTGTGATGGCAAAGATAACGAACCTATTATTAAACAATTGGAGTACATGTACTTATTTAGACCTTAGGCTCCTCGCGTAGTGTCCTCGCTATCATCACCGTACAGGTAACCACGGGCTTCTTAATCGCACACATTTTATGGACTCACTGTCTTACTCACTGTCTTGTTACCAATTCTCCCTTCCTCTCTTTCTCTCTCTCCTCCTTCCCATCCCATCTATTAGACCTTAGGCTCCTCGCGTAGTGTCCTCGCTATCATCACTTTAGGTGGCCACGGGCTTCTTAATCGCACACATTTTATGGACTCACTGTCTTGTTACCAATTCTCCCTTCCTCTCTTTCTCTCTCTCCTCCTTCCCATCTGTATAGCTGGGAGGAAAGAATGCAGGGATAGTGTTCAAAGACGCAGACCTGGACAAGTGTGTGTCAACCATGGTCAGGTCTTCCTTCATCAACCAGGGAGAGGTCTGCCTCACCACCAGCAGGATCTACGTTCAGGAGGATATCTTCCAGAACTTTCTCGACAGATTCGTCAAGATGACAAAGTAAGTGTTTTGTACACTTTATGCTGTCTAACGGAAGAGAATGAGAGAAGCTGAATTGAACTTGCAACATTTTTATTGGCGAACGAAGCCAGTCTGTTTAGTCGTCTGAATGTGGGCACTGCATATGTTAACTATATACTCTCTCTTATATATTCGATAGTGATAGTTCAGGGGGAGGGGGCAAGGTAGTACATTTCGGCTGTGAATGGCACAAACTGAATGGCCGCCAAATAGCCAAACTATTTTTTGAGAAATCTAACCGTGAACTGGCTGCCCCTCTTTTCCAGAGAGATAAAGGTTGGTGACCCTAATGACCCCGACAACATGCTGGGAGCTCTGGTCAGCAAGGAGCACATGGCCAAGGTCAAAGGTTACATCGACCTTGCTCGCAGCGAGGGCTGCAGGATCGTGTGTGGAGATGAAGACCTGAATCTACCGCAACACAACAGAAATGTGAGACCTGTTTTTCGTGCATGATTGTTTAGGTCAAAAACTTTCCAGGGGTTGGTTGACTTGTTTTCTTTTCCTTTGCCTCTGCTACCGCGATTGTTACCTTGTGTTGTTAGATTTGACCCAAATTTTGTGTGTCGGTTCACTTTTTCATGAATTCTAAGTATATACCTGCTGCATGATTCCCTGTGCAACGTGTGCACACGTGAAATCAAGTGCACGTCAATTAAAGTTCACTCAAACGGCATAAATTGTATGTGCAGTGCGTAGAGTGCTTCTGCATTGTAGGCCTCTGAGCCTAGTAGTACGTAGCGTAACTATTAGGCAATTTTATGCTGTGGGTAAAATGGTATATATGAAAATTACGTTGTGAATCTCAGCAGTTTTATCGACTCCACTCTCTGTGCGTAGGGCTACTTCCTGAGGCCGACTGTAGTGTGTGACGTGTCGGATGAGAGTCGACTCATGAAGGAAGAGGTGTTTGGACCCGTCACTTGTGTAGTCCCTTTCAAAACTGAAGAAGAGGTACTGTATGTATGTACGTACCATTGTAGCTGTGCGTAGCAACTGTCTGATTGTGTGTAAGAGATTTGTATGTGTGTATGGCAGATTCAGAAAGAACAATCTATTTTAAAAGGGAATGTGGCAGATCACAAAGGCTAAACAATATAGCCCACTCCAAGGATGCAATTACCGGTTTACGTTTACGTTATATCCCTTAAACTGCCACATTAACTAATGTGAATCACATGGTGCAGATGGTTATTCTGAGCATGAGTAGAGAGAGACAGTGATTTTATGCATCAACTGGCAATAAAAAAGTTAGAGAATTTCCCGTCAGTCTTGTTGTTCCACTGTAGGCAATACGTCGTGCCAATGATGTGGAGTATGGACTGTGTGCGTGTGTGTGGTCTGAGAACTCTGGAACCACTCACAGAGTGGCTCAAGCCATGGAGGTGAGTTCAGCTACCATAATCGTGCCAGCGCTTGTACCCTACATTACTTAACTCACATGCCACAACTGCATGGGTGTACCATTGACTATACATATATTTTGGGGAGTAAGCTTGAACAAATGAACTCCATTGGCTGTGCGTTTGCTTTTAGGTTGGTTTACTTTTCTAGAGTGTATGAGCACTTGTCAGTGACACACCATTAATAATACGGTGTGTCACTGATACATTTGCACTGACGACTACTGTGAGTGTCAGTCTGTGCAATGTATCAGAGGTCTCTCGAGCCCTTGAAGCATGCAGCAATATTTGCACTCTCTCCTGTAACTCTGCCTTGAAGGTGGGCACAGTTTGGGTCAACTGCTGGCTGGTGAGGGACCTGAACGTGCCATTTGGAGGAGTCAAGATGTCAGGGGTCGGCAGAGAGGGTCTCAAAGACTCTCTGGAGTTCTACACTGAAGTCAAGACTGTCTGCATCAAACACTGACACACTATGAAATATTAATATTGCTAAATGGAATGTGGCAGTATAATTATAAGGACAAGATTTAGACTTTAAAGGGGGATCTTAATTGCATTCATGCACTGGGTCTTTTTAGTTTCATCATTTAGCGTATGTACTGACACATTACTTTTAAATGTGTAACTTGTGTTGTTAAGGACTGCATAGTATTGAATGTAAGCTGAATGTCAATTATGCTAAAATCACAGAAAAACATGTGTTTGTACAAAATCATCTTAGAATCTGTAACGGCTCTGCGTTGGTAGCTACTGCTTTGTATACATGTGGATGAATTGTATTGTGCATTGTGTGCTGAGTGTGTCAGTTGAATACTTGGACTCGGTCGTTTCCAGTGTCACTGACAAAGACACAGCCATCATCTCTGACAGCTATGGCATATGGGTCATTGAACTCTCCATCTCTGTTCCCCTCTCTTCCCGAATGACTTGATGTACTTGCAATCCTCATCAAATACTGATACTCTGGGACAGTCGCATTCAACCACATACACCCAATCGTCAGGTCCAACTGCCACACTGACTGGTCCTCTTAGTCCCTCCCCTGCTCCGGTGTGAGTGATGGATGAGAGATGGTGCCCATTGGAGTCAAAAACCTGAACTCTACTATTTTCTCTATCCGCTATAAGTACATTTCCTTCTTTATTGACAGTTATTCCATCAGGATATTTGAATTGACCCACCTCACTTCCCCTACTTCCAAAGCTGTCACTGAATGTTAAGTCATGGTTGAGGATTGTGATGCGATGGTTCTATGTGTCACAGACATACACTCTGTTGTTGGCTGGTTGTAGGCTATGGCCCATGGTGTGTTGAACTGCAGTTGTCCACTGCCCCGTGAACCCACTGATGCTATGAACCGACCCTCAAGAGTGAATTTCTTCACACAGTGATTCCGCACCACTACAAACACTGTGTTATCAGAAGAGATGGCTACTCCACGTGGGTCAAAAAGTTTGCTTTCCTCTGGTTCTGTGTTTCCAAATGATCGCAACAGCCTGTGATTGCTGTCAAACACTTTCATAGAGTGTCCATTCTTTTCACAAACAACGGTTTCCCCGTTTTGGCAAAAGCAATGTGACGTGGACGTCTGACTTCACCAATGGTCTTGACATGAGTACCTTTAAACTGGACCCTTTCTAACTTTCACTTCTCCTAGTTTTTGACATGCTGAGCTCAGGTCTGCACACAAAACTCTAATCCCCTTCTCCGGACCCAACCAGTTGTTGAGGTTTAAACTCCTCTGCCATCTCCCGTGCCCTCTCCTCCACTTGTCTCTTCATCGACAGCACCTCCTCTTGTGTGCCACTCTGCAGACTCCCCTCCACAAACTCCACGCAGCTGCTCAGCTGGGCCTGCCTCAACTCGTGTCCGTCAATCCGGGCCGCCAGCTCCTTCTTCCCCTGACACACCTCACCATCTATCTGGGAGTGAAGCTCCCTCCTGCGAGCCTCTAGGATGGCCTGGAGCTTGTCTACTACAGCGTTCACCTCTGCCTGGGCCTCCACACCCCGTTCGTCTAGCCTGCTGGACCTTGCCTTCAGCTGTGCAATGGTGCTCCCTACACTAGCAAGTTCAGATTTAACGGGACCGAGGGAGGCAAGGATGGCATCTCTGTGCTTGGGGAAGGCGTCCGGGACGAGGTCGTAGTTGTGGTCGCGGTGGGTCTTGACGGTGCAGTCGCGACAGATAAGCTCATCGCACGTCTCGCAGTAGATCTTGGTCGGCTCTGTTGCGTGTTTCGAACACGTGGAGCTCACCTTTTTGGGTGTCACCATTTTTGAGGCTGTTTCTTGGACCTCATCGATGGTGGAAATTTCGTGCCCCTGCAATTCCTTCCACTTGCCGTGCATGGTAAGACAGAGCTGGCAAATGAACTGGCCGCAGTCCCGACAGAAACCCTGCACCTCTCCCTCCCCGCACTTGTCGCACTGCGCCTTCTCCGGGTTGCTCACCTTCTCCAAGACCTCCCTCACCTCGAAAAGGTGATTGATGTAGAAAGCGTAGGGCAGGCTGGACACGCCCCCTTCTGGGAGTCGGGCCGTTTTGCGGCAGTTGGGGCACGGGGCACTCAGTTTGTCTCTCTGTGTCCCCACCAGTTTCTCCAGACAGGCCTCGCAGAAGACGTGGAGACAGGGCAGCACTCTGGGTCTCCGGTACTCCTCCAGACACACAGAACACGACAGCTGGTTCGATAGCTTCTCCAGCGCTTGCTGAGCTGGATTTTCTGACCTTTTCGGTGCATCTTGCAGTTTTGTGGGTCTTTCAGCCATTACTGCAAATTTCACAAAGATAACCCCTATGTTTACATGTTTCATCGTTGGGCGCAATTTTGGGTACTCACTACCCCGCTAATCGCTAGGTGGCAGTATCTTTTTCAGGCTGTAGCAAAAACACCGAAGTTCCCCACAATATAGCTAATACCAGTTCTCTACTATCTAATTTGCCTTACTAGTGAAAGGAGAGGAACACCTTGACCGATTGTAGCAGAAACGGGTTGAGAAAGAAGAGGAAGCACCCAACACCTCCACTGACTGCAGCAGAAACGGCCCTTGAAAAGTGTCGGCAGGAAGCACTGACAATGTGTCAGAAGACAATAAAATTATTCATGGAGTGAGTCAGCAGAGTGGGAGGCACATTATCAATCACCCCACTCTAAAACGCCCACAACTTGCACACTCAGAAAACGTGGGGCCAAAAGATTTATTGGGCCAACCTTTTCACCGGTCTAGGCTAAGCAGGGCATTCAAGGGAGTGGTTTGCAGGAGTATGAAGCCCAGGCGGTTCCCCAGAATCAGCATCTTTTCCAGCAGTGCCAGGTATATAGGTAGAGTGATCCTTAGACAATGAGACACAACAGAAACTCGATAGAGGCTAGCGATTTTACACAAACTTCTACAATCTTTGGCCAGCAACATGGATCCTTGAAGTATCCGAAAAAAGTACTATTGTATGTATAATACATGACGTCACTGAAGTGAATTTAACTCCAAGATCCAACAGACACTAAGATCTTTAGCCAGTCAGATGATTCCCTGCCAAAAGCTATACTTACTGGAAGCAAACGTCGTAAGTTATGAAGTTCTGTACAAGCAGTATAATACACAAGTGATCTACCACAGAATATGACACATCATACACCTGTACATGTAAAGGTAGTAATTGCTGCTCCACATAAATAATGATATGTAGACATCATGTACAGATGATGATTACATCAGCCTGCACGAGCCGCGTCTGTTGGTGGGTTTGTAACGCTCGAGGAAGTCCAGTTGCCGCTGGTTTATTGCCCCTCTTCTCTTCCTGTACATACATCAGAGTGAAAAAGACAGTTTCACTATCTATGCTAAACTATTGCAGGAACATTTCGAGGGTTAAAATCTTATTACGAGGCTCAAACTATATTTCCTAACAAACCTCTGCCCACAAAACGTTCTTATTTTCTGCTTCAATATTTTACAGTTGGCTACATTGACAGTAGGTATAGAGCATGAAGGTATTAGACCATGTGATGCCAAGAGAAAAAACATGCGGAGCTCTGGATAGCTTTTTCGGGCTTGTTGGCCCTCATCAGCAACTTCTCTCTCCGAGTTTATAAAGGCTATATACCAGGAGCGCCAGCACTTGTCGTTGCAGGGTTTGACCGACCTTCTGATGGTGTCCACAGCGTCGTGGTACTTCATTCCGTTCTCTATCAGAGCTATGGCCACCAGCACCGGAGCCCTGCGACGAAACACAAACAAGTCCAAGATGAATGTGAATGCCTTCTACACCTGCTACAAACAATTCAGGGAGGTATATACAACTAGCCTTTACTTGGTACTACATACGTATACACCCTAAACAGAAAGAGCTGTAAACGAGCCTAATTCCAAGGATTCTAATTCCAAGGATCTGGTATATGTCTGAAACTGAGAGGTTGTCACTTAGTCTAAGAACACACAGTGATTATACTGTAAGCAGACCTGCCCAGACCGGCCACGCAGTGAACAGCGATGCAGTTCTCGGGGTCCTCCTTGAAGGTGTCCCCCACAAGTTCCAGCCACTGGCGAACCAGATCAGCAGGCGGGGCTGCCCCATCCTCAAACGGGAAGTCCTGAAAATGGCAAAATACGGATTGCATGAGTGTAGGACTTACTGCATGCGGCACAGAGCATAGACCGGCATTGTTAACAGACTACTAAACTAGAGATTATGAAAGAAAGAGCCGATTTGAACTACCTGAGGTTGTGTACAAATACACGTACACGAGTACACACAGTGAGGATAATATTTTGCTATTTTCACCACACACCAATGGCGTGTATGAGATGTTTAGCAAATACATGCAGTAAGGAAGCTCTCTGCTTGGTGGGCTTGACTTCCCAATTCAATCCCAGATGGACGAATACTCTCTCTAGCACAGTCACCACAGCAGTGGTGGTTGACCAACTCACCAGAACTGAGATTCCTTCCTTCTTCAGAGGGTCGATGTCGTAGGAAGGATCGCAGCATCTCACAACTATCCTCGCTCCGTTCTTCCTCAGCTCCTGGGAAAACCACCACACACAGTTCACAAACACTACATCAGTTTAGGGTGCAAGCCCTTTGTATACATGTTAACTCTACCAGAGCCTAGGCAATGTAAACTGATATTGCAGACACTTGCCAAGCAAGCACCTTTGGCTAAAACATAATAGACTTATGCACTAGTGTCATTGTAAGCTGACCATCAAGTGCATGCTTCTTGTGAGACAATTCAGTCAGGAAAACCTTTAATGTGTACCATACTTGCCAGCATGCTAAGCAGTGCTTATCTGCAAATGGTCGCAGATAAAACACCTTTTCCAATTGCATGCAAACTGCGAAATACTATCTCTAACATTTCAAGATGATGTGTGTCTAACTCCATTACTACTATGTAGAGGCACTGCCATAATTATCAGCCCCATTAGTCATGATGTCATAGTCAACGAACCTTGATAAACTGGGGCATGGTGGCCTGGGTGGGCTTGTTGATGATGAGAAACCGCATCTTCTTGTGCTCGATGAGCGAGGGGGCCCCTGGCAAATTACGGTGATTACTACTGCTGGCTGTCATGTCCCACACCTTCGCAACTTCTCGTGCAAACGAAGTAACAGTCAATCCCGAAGGTTTCAGTTCGATTCTGATTCGAGACAACCGACGATCACAGACTAGCAGAGAAGCAGCAGAGTTTACTTACTCAAGAATAAATATAAAGAAGTAAAAATGAGTGAAAATTAAACACTTGATGATTTCTGTACACGAGTTCGTTCGTACCAGGGAGTCCTTCCCTATTACGTACACACACACTCGATAGGCAAGTGGGAGGGTTTACCCCATAATACGAACTATTGGACTCCTAAGGCGAGAAATTTGGAGAAGAATAAGTGCGAGCGAAGATGGAGAGGGAGAGGGAGTCGCGAAACGAGTAAAAGATCCGGGAGAGGGGGGGAAATCGAGCGAGCTTTTCCTGAATGTCGTTCAAAAACGGTCCGTTACACGTTGCGATCGATTCGTGAAAAATTTTCTCCTATAGTGGCGAGGACGATGAGGGGGGGCGAGCGCGGGTCTCGAGGGGTTCAGCTGTGCTGGGCCAGGCACCAATCTCCACAACTGCCCTTCAGAAACTCCATAAAAGTCTGGCCAAATCTGCAGAAAACCTGAGAGAGATTTTAGAGCGAGAGAGGGAGAGAGGGAGAGGGAGAGGTGAGAGGTATAATTCCATGTGTAACAAGAGGGGTTTAAATAACAGTTCACCAGTATCTACAGTAGCCAGTGACCACATCAAGTGACGAACGTCCAGCTATCGTAGGACTATAGATCTCAGGAGAGGCATTGGAATTCCAGGAGTTATGGCCATCTGTTACAGACCCTACCACATACTTTATTACCGGTCTGGCTATTATGCCGTATACTTGCTGGCTGTACTATAGACCACCTTTGCCAGTACTCTACTACATATCATCATTACAGCCATACACGTAATTACGTGTGCTTATACATGGAGTATAATGGGACTGTAATCCACACACACCAGAGAGACACAGATTAACTAAACTTAATAAGAACTCCTTGAAACGAAGCATTCTCACAGACTACAGGCCTCTCCCTGGTTCCAGTCGCACCATAATGAATACCAGTGATCATTTGAACAACACATGTAAAATAAACCAGGTATGTACTGTAATAGATAAACCACATATGTACATTTGTTGCATATCCCTGTCTGGGCACTGCAACATACATGTACATGTACATGTGGGTCTAATGTCCTATAATTGTCAGGCGCATGCCTTTCACATTGATCACATTTCAACGATAGAAAACACTACCGGTTTTAAAAGCCATAGAGACTATTGTGCTCAATTGTAGGGTACGCACCTGTGTGAGTGACTTTGCCACCGTTTACTTCAGTTGTAGTGCATGTATGTACGTAGGCATTGTGGCGGTTCTTTGGTACACACAGAGAGTTTGTTCTTGTACACGTCCATTTGCAAGCGCTCCTTGAGACATTTGGAAGCATTGTCACAAAAGCAAAGTCAATCACTACTACAACCATACATACATCTGTACACAGTCTTTATACATTGTACGCAGCCTTAAGTCGAAAACTATGGGCTTGCTTTCACACTACCAAAACACACCTTTCATGGCATCTAAGAAATTCAGGGCTGCGTGACAGTTTGTGAAAGGAATGTGTTTACCCACGAGCGTGTATTCAAAACTGGCATGTAGAAAATAGGCAAAACTATAATTATAATGTACACATGTACCGAGTGAGTGTGCATTTGTTACGAGCTGTTTTTCCGGGCACAAACAAGTAAAGTGAATGTGTAGGACTTGCTGTAAATGGGACACCAGGAAGTTCTGGAAATGCTCTAAGGTGAAGGTTGTTCACTTGTGTCAACACATGAAATGGATGCTTGCATACGACAATGAGAAAACAGCACCATTTACACAGTTTTGGTAGCATTGAGTTATAAGGCAGACAAAGCTATTCAAATTCATGGATTTGTAGACATTCCATCCAGATGTACACTTTTACATTACCAGACGAACTGACTGTTGTTTGGTCAGAGTATTTTCATAGAGTGCTGATAAAACGGAGTACACACCAAACACTCACACAACCATACAATACAATAATCCTGGAGGGACAAAAGACAAACTTTGCAGCAACTACAGACAACATGTAAACCTCAATGCACACAAACTGCAAGAAACATGGCTAAATTCTGCACCAACACACCAGCAGACAATAGGGGACTTTTTGTGTTACATTACACATTATACACTACAGGCCACCTCACAATGTGTTGTTAGGCATTACAACCACAGGAAACATGGCTCAGCCACACTATATATACACTAGCTTACACTAGCTGTACACCAATAACTATGGGGAAATGTATGTGGTTCCAGAAGGGTGCACAAGGCAAAGCTAAAAGTTAAGTCTGGGAGACTACATTCTGGACATGGTTCGTCAGGCAATGTCACTACATAGTTTTCCACGCCCAAATCTACAAAAAAAATGTGCTGTACAGTGTACACCCCCTAATACAACACTTATTCACACACAGTATGGTGCGAGATGTACAGATCAAAGCAATGCGGAATAGGAGGCAAGCAATGAATGAAGGGAATAGTTGGGAATAGTTGGGAATAGATGGGAATAGTTGAAGGGGCACAGTATTCACCACTGCTATAGAAAGAAAGCACCTCCCAATAAGTAGCAGGGAAAGTGACTGGATTGAAAATGTGCCAAAAGTACACCTGGCCTAGAGTTTCGTAAGATGACATAACGCGATTGTTGTGGGCACGTGCGAGCTGCGGCACGCCATTCAGTTTCAAGAACTTTCCAAGGAGAGAATTTTCTGTAGTGTTTGCAGAGAAAAGCTATCGAAAAAAACTCTGTGATTGATCCGCATCCACAATATAACTCGAACAGCTCGGCCTTGGCTCTCACATCCTCAGTTCTTTCGCGCAGTTCGTTGTTTCTAGTGACGGCCATTCCTCAATCTCACGGTGGAAGCTACTTCTTCTGGCCTAGTGTAAGTGCGTCTGGACCCGCCAACAAAGTCAGCTCACCTTGCCATGGTTGAATACCATGAAATTTTCCCAAGGCACACCAGCCAGAATGTGTATAATTATACTCACATGTCAAGCAACAGCTGTTTCCTTGCTATAGGATCAGAGAGAGAGAGAGAGACACACTTTAGTATTACCCAAACAGATGGTGTGAGGTCACAGGTACACCCCTGGGAGCCCAGGAAACTCCCACTCAGTGAACAATGTACCACACGATCCTGACTTTATACTTGCACACGCTGTGTCAACACATGGTATTCCTTCTTCCCAGAGGTGTGGGGTAGCAGGAGATGGACCCCCCCACACACACAGTGATCAATCGTACTCGACCATTCTAGGACTCCACATGCACACACAATGACATAGACAGGCGGTCAACACAGCTATTCTTCAGATTGCCTTCCCTAACCTCTCTTTAACACACACACACACAATGGCTAAACAAGCCGCTCTCCCATGTACGTACGAATAGACACACACACACACACACGCACAGGTCAAGTTGGTCATTGAGCTAATGACACACACGCCCAAGGGAGTAGTATACCCAATGCACAAGAGCACTATACAAATAGCATGCGCGCACGCGTCACCACACGCATGATTTGCAGTATAATGCACAGTGTGGTATGAGATCATCCAGTGGAACTTCTCAGCTACTATTATATCAATGGGTGTAGATTCTAGGACACAGGGATTTGGCTAGAAATCTATTCAGAGAGGGCAAATTGGGTATTTGAAAAGCTCAAATGAACCCAAAAAGGTGTTTCTGACATCACCTATGCTTAGTTCAGAGATGTCACCTAGACAAAAAAAACCGGTGACATACACGTACAGTCACTCACTATCCCTCCCTAGAGCACCACTATAGCATATCATGTGTACACACAATCAGGCTCATGCATTAGCACATAAGGGGGTTGCCTCGGTATTATTGGTATTGCATGTGAACGGAAATATCGATATATAACCACAGGAGAATAGGTGAAGACTAAGCAAGTGCATCCCAAGGGAACAGCGGTTTATCAGTACATGGACGTACATGTAAATAGCTATATAACCAATGTACAGTGCCAATTTGCAAGGCTGTCATCATAAAGGGCATCCCATAACCTTGAGTACATTATTCTGTTGTGGTTCTTACATGTGGTTGAGCTAATAACACACAGAAAGCAGTAACGTAGCCAAAAAGTTGCCACGGTTCTCCTCCGCGAAGCGCGCGAGAAACCTTAGGACAAGGGCGTACGGGCACATGCAGCTGATCGCGTCCTCCAAAACCGCTTCCGTCTTCAAGAAGTTTGCCTGTGAACTACAAAACATCGTCCGTCATTTGAGTAAGTACCACACGCGCCACCCCAAAAGTGTAGCCAGCACACCTGTATACAAACACACGCGCCGCTGGTATATAATGCTACGGCAAAAGACGAAGACACAAGGTTTAGTTACAACTCACTCGAGTCCTGCTTCTCATTTATGACAGAGCTGGCTTTTTTTTCTGAGAGACGAACGGAAGAACAAGAAGCGCTCCACAGCCCAAAATGACGACGGAAGGGGGGCACGGGGCGGATGAAGAACTGGGGTGTGGTCGAATTTTGTTGCAACGTGCTCTCGGTCTGTATAATTATTGCGGTTGCCTATGGCAGCGTCACCAATTTGTCCGCCACTCTTTTGCTAGCCGCACATTTTAACGCTACCGCAAAATATTTATTTTGACGTCGAAGCGCGTGACGCCGCGGGTACATACTATAATGGACGAGAGTCTGGACTCGGTTTTGGAGAAGTGCCTGGAGGTGTGCGAGGCGCGATCTCCACACGATGCAGTTGCAGTGGCTCTGCACGCCTGCCTCCTCGCAGACGGCTTCGTCTGCATAGCGACGGGAGACGAGGTCGGTGTGCTCCATTTAGAATACACATCATTTTCACCCGCCCGGTTTCTTTTCACTAGAACTTCGGGGAGGGGTTGGCGACTCGCTCTCCGACATCTTCCAAGGGTGCTCAGACTTCTCCCTACGGCCTGCCTGCTGGCTGGAACACATCCCAAGACGTGTATGCTCTGCAATACCACCATCCAGGCCAGAGGAAGCTGATCCTTGTGAAGATGATTGTCATCGACACACAGCTCCTCATCAGTGCAATGGTTTGTGAGTTTTGAGAGAACGGGGTGCTTTATCCAGATGGGAATTTGTAGAAATTGTAACATGAAAGAGAACTTATTAGAGCCTTGCTGATATTGGACACACTATATACTCTTCGCTTATTGTAACCTATGAAGCCTGCGAGAAAACCTTTCCAGATTGCTAACCATACTTCTGCAGATTGCTTTAACTGCACAGCTCACAAACTCCTTTTTTCTCACTATAATTATGTTGAATGACTACTACTTGTGTCAGTGGCCAGAGTATTTTGAGGCATCTCATCTACATGTGTATATACCATGTTCTCACAGTCAGCGGGTGACATTGAGACCATTCACAGTCTGACTCTGGAGACGGATCGCTACGTGAGATCGCAGCAGTTCAACACTGTCAGGTGACTACTATACAATGCCATCTCCCCCTCTCTTTTTGTGTCTCTATCCATCTGTCTGCGTGCTTACGTCAATCATCATCTGAAGTGCTTCTACGTACTCCTACATATACCTGCTATGTACTGTCTCCTTCCGTTAAACGTTAACTTTACCTTCTCTGTAGAACGGTTCAAGATACTGTCTTCACTCTCTCTCGCCCCTTCCAAATCCTACGTATACCATTTCCAATCCATAATTATTACCACACTCTCATCACTTGTGCTGCTTTATTTTTCACTTCGCAACGTCAGCTCCTGTTCCTTTTTCACTGTTTCCCTAAGTTTTCCTGATATTACTGTTGTCTGAATTGCACGAGTTTTAAAATAATATTATTCTCTTATTCTCATCACTCCTTAATTTTTTGCCATCTCTTTTCCCCACACACTGTGTGTATTATAGTGTGTACAGTAATCTCCTTCAGCTGGTGTCGACTCTCAACAAAGAGATAGTGTCAAAACTACAACAGCCTGCTGCAAAGCCGTCACCTAGTACCACCTCTGCATCTGGCACTACTTCAACCTCTGCTGCTGCCAGTTCTAGTCGAATGAGAGGTGATTATGATCCTTTACGAGTGGGGCCTCCTCGTCATCCGGGCGTGTCACCTGCCAATCCATTGTGAGTGTGTGTTGGACTTAGCCTCCTCACATTGTGTTTTTTGTCACTCTCGGTGGAAAGTATCTGTGTTGTACGTCATACATTGGAGTATGAATTGGTGCCTTGTACAGGATGTGCTAAAACATTGGGACCATTTTGTACACGTCTACACGTTACCTTTAGGCAATGCATCCAAGTGGGAGTATACAGTCAAGTCGGTGTGTATTAAAATACACTTATGTATCACCGTTCCTGCTTCAGTCTGTGTTATACCAACCCCCTCTCTATGCAGTGGGATGCCCACACCTTTTGGCTATGGAGATGCTGACCGATTTCCCTTCGGGTAAGACCAAAACCTTGCTGTATTTATACCCGACCTGATTTTGGAACCGTAATTGCAGGGGCGGGGGTGGAGGGATGGTTTTTGATCCACTGAGAGGCGGAGGGAGAATGGGGGGAGGTGGTGGGTTTGGTGGCCCCCCAGGACCATTTCCTCCACCAGGGTAAGGCAGTCTGCCAAACTCAACTTCCACGGGCCCCTCCCACTAATAAAGGGCCTTGGTGACGACACCGAGAAATTCAAGTTTTCAAATTGGTTCTTCTTCAGGTATGTGCCGGGTGCAAGGTGGGATCCAGTGACTCCATTTGGTGGTGGACTGCCAGCCAGAGGTGGAGGGAGACCTGGTAGACATCATGGGTAGGTTCAACACCCCTTTTTACCATGTTTACCTACTAAGAGTTTCGAGGAGAGTCGCATCAGGATTTTGCCAAGAAAACATAATTATTATCGAGTGTTCAAAAAATTCACAGGACATTCTTTGCATTGTTCGGCCTGGCACTTTTGCATATAATACACCTTTTTGCATTGTGAGAGGTTTGCATATATATGCAGTAGAAAATGCTGGTGTGAATGTACATGTGCTGCTCTTTCTCATGCTGTCCCTTGTTGCAGTGAGCCAGATCCTGACCACCTACCACCTCCTGGCAGTGACGACATGTTTTCATAGTCTGCAAACTGTCTGTGTCAGTGTCCATCACATTTGTGTTTGTAGAGTATTCACTTATAGAGAGAGAGAGAGCTGTATTGTCACCAGTATATTATACTCGTGTCGTTTTTGGTTGCATCACCTTTTGTGTCTCTGCACGTGCGCAGTGAGCTAACGGTCGCGCGCGTACGCGTATATACACATAGCGAAAGAGCCGGGCCGGCAAAATTGTTTTCCCGTCGCACAATTTTATTTCAAAATTATGGACATTTATGAGTGCACGCACTATACGTAGTACCACCAGGTCAAACCAGCACCACCCCTATCTTCGGATCCCTGCGTCCTGTCGATATCTACAGGCAGCACGATATGTTCAAGACACCCTTCTTCGCGTTGTGCTGCAGTTTTTCTGCTGCATCGGTTGTGTTTTCCACTTCTGTGCAGCAGAGTTTCCAGCAAGGGGGCGAGTCTTCTTACCGCCCATTAGGTAATATCTCCGTGAAAGATCCTGCCTTCGTCCGCGCCTTGTCTTGCACTGGAGGCGGCCCTCCGTCACTGTGGATCACGAACTTCGCAGCGTTCGTTGCCGGCGAAGTCCTAACAGTTTACAATCTCTCCGCTTCGTATCCGAACTTCTCCGCAGCGAAGATCCGCCTCTTGTCCTCCGCTTTCAAGTGGCCGAACATTATTTCGATGGCCCCCGCCGAATTTGGGGCATATTTAGTGGTCCCCGACGGATTTCTGGTACCGTTGAAGGAAACTGGAGGTATCTATCTTTTGAAAATCAATTGTAATGGAACAACGACAACCTTAGCGTCTGAACCTATTGAAATTACGAAGCCGAAAAGATCATATTTCTACCACATGGTCGTATGGCAAGACATGAACGGGGACGGCCTTTTAGATGTAGTTACTGCACGTGTCAATGATCCGATTCTCTTAGGTAAACCATCGGGACAACTTATCTGGCTAGAACAACCAAAATCAGAACCACTCGATAATGTACCATGGACAGAACACTATTTAGTAGTTGACGGTCCAGAAACTGTGTTTGTTCTGACAGATCTAAACCCTAGCGATGACCAATACGAGGTTTTTGCGGCTCAATTCTTCACGAAACACTTGGGGCTCTATGTGTTCGCAGCGAAAAACAACTCTCTACTATATTCGCGGTACTTGGACGAGACAATAGGCCCGGCATACATGGTTGAGGTAGTTGACTTGAATGACGATGGAGCGCTGGATTTGCTAGTGACGAACCACGTGGGAGGTGAAGGTGGAGGTGTGTTTGGGTACGAGATCCCTACCGACCTGCGAAACGGTGTTTTCAAGAGGCACACTCTTGCACACGGATTCCCTGTAACAGAGAGTGGGTCGAATCAGTTTGCCCCTGGTTTTGCATACTCGTTCAAACCTCACATATCCTACACTGGGAAGCCGTACATTCTGGTGGCTGGGGATGGATCTCAGAAAGCGTACCTCCTTACGCCCAGTGAGGCTGATTTTTCCTACAACAAGACCATCATCATTTCAGCGGGTGGAGTGGTAGGGTCAATGGGATTTGGTGACATAATAGGCAATGACGGGTGGGCGGAGTTTTTCGTTCCTGGTTACGATGGCAACACAATTTTTGGGTACACATTTGCTCCACAATAATAGATGTGTCACGTGTGTTAGCGCATGCGCAGTAGATTTGTCATGTGACCTTTGACCGTGAGGCGCAAACAAGTGCCAGGCAAAGCAGTGACAATGGCGGAGAAGGGACCGCTGATCGAGCAGGACGATGGGCACTACAGCGAGGAAGAGGCTCTGGTATACATCTCGGACGAGAAGCATCCCTCTGGGGCCACCAGGAAGGCTGAAGTTCGCCGGTAAACTCTACAGTGGCCTCTAGCCATTATGTATAAGTGCGAATGGCTCATTATTTTGCAGCGAGAGACGACTATGTTACTGTGTGGTGGGAGTGATGGCCGGGAGCGTTGCTCTAGGGGTGGTTGTCGCCATTTCGCTCTTTTTCACATTCCACGAAGGCAAGTTCCAACTGTTAGTTGAAACTATAGCTGGATTCTGACATACTATGCATTGGGTAACCAATAACATTATTCGTAACTAATACTTAGTCTATCTAACAAGAGAATGTTCTATGTTATGTATGAGCATTAGTTGGACTCTATTGTGCTTGTGTACTGTATCAAACTGTGCAGCAAACCTGTATGTATTAACTATGTACTACACTACATGTAATAGGCTATTTCAACCACGTAACTCTGTGTATTACCTATCCTGTAGGATGACCTATGTATGAGCATTATTTGGGCTCTATTACATGTATACTGTATTAGAGTGTGTGCAGCAAACCTGTATGTATTAACAGTGTACTACACTACATGTAATAGGCTATTTCAGCCGCATAACTCTGTGTATTAGCATCTCTTCCTATCCTGTAGGATGCCTATGTATGAGCATTCTTTGGGCTCTATTACTTGCTATGTATGAGCATTCTTTGGGCTCTATTACTTGCTATGTATGGGCATTCTTTGGGCTCTATTACTTGTATACTGTATTAGAGTATTAGAGTGTGTGCAATATGCATTCTCAATTATAGTGTGTGCAACGAACCTATGTATTAACGTACACCAATGCACACGTGACAGGCTATTTCAACCAAGACCAGGACAACAGTGTCAACGACTCGCCAGTCACACTAAAGACGTCTCTAACAGTAAACACCAGTGAACTGGACCACTCTGGGGAGTGGGTGCTGGTTAAGTGGGTCAACGTCCCAGACCCCAATATCTCAGACTGGGTCGGTCTCTATTCCGTTCCGGGGAACTTCAAGGAGAATGGGATCAACGTGACGGCAAAAGCACCAGTCAAATTTCAGGTAGGAAGTCTAGAGTATAATGAAGCGTTGTTTTTGAGAATGCATATTGCAGTATGCCGACTACAGTCAGACCCACATGACCAAAGGCGAAGGCTCCATTCAGTTCAGACTGGTCAACATCAGACAGCCTCTGGTCTTTGGCCTCTTCAGAGGAGGTCGGCTAACTGTCGTTTCAGTTTCAATTCACTCTCACAGCAGTTCATGTTGTCTGTGTCTCTATGGTTACATACAAGGTTCCATTGTCCGCAATTGCACATCTGCCATTGTTCTTAATAAGATACTGTAAACCCAGAAATTTTAGCTCGCCATAAAGTTTGGCGAAATTAGCGTTTCCCATCCTAAACGCTAAAATAATAGGATGGCAATTTTTGTTATGCTCATGCGTTGTAACTGGCTATCAAAATTTCACTAAATTTATAAACCGCTAATACTATCAAAAACGCTAATTGTTTTGGGTGGCAACATTACTGGGTTTACAGTATATATTTTGCTTTTGCTTTCATTTGTCTGACTGTGATTGAACAGGATTGGACACTCACCTGGAGACGGCTCAGTTCAGCCAGGCCACCACACTGGCTCTCAGTGACACCGTCAGTTTCAAGAACTGGAACGAACCGCTGCAAGTTCATCTGGCCCTCACCAACGACCCAACAGAGATGATGTAATGACGATGTAATTGTTCTGTGATGTCATCACGTGTGTTTGTTTGTGTTGCAGAGTGTCTTGGGTGACAAATAGTTCGAGCAATCCGGAAGTAAACTGGGGAACTGAAAGTGGAAACCTCACAAACACGCTAAAGGTGATTGTGGGAAACTTTGAAAGAGAATATTTTATGGTTTTGGGACCAACCGCTAAATTTATATCGAGGAGTTTGTAGGCTGGGGCCTTCCGCAAAAAAAACACCTATGTATACTGGCTTATTGGCATAAATGTGTGTATGTGCTGACAAAAAAATCTCCTGGAATTTCATATTTCATAAACTTATTGTGAATTATTCAGTGCATTGTGTTTGTACGCACACATACAGGCGAACTCCTCCAGCTACAGTGCCAGTGACATGTGTGGCTCTCCAGCCATTGACTTTGGCTACAGAGACCCAGGTCTCCTGCACAAGGCCAAGCTGAGCGGCCTCCAGCCTGGCCTCACCTACTACTACACCTGTGGAGACCAGCAGTTTGGCTGGAGCCAAGAGTTCAGCTTCAGAGCTGCCACTCCGGCAAACGCCAGTGCCACTACCAGAGTTGTCGTTTATGGAGGTAGGAGCTTCCTGGCAAGCAAGAGAATCCACCTACGTCGTCGTCTGAACTATGCAATTTGTTGTTGTTTGTGTATGTACATTAAGGGTAACAAAAATATGAACTGCTGAAATTTTTGGATTTTGCTTGCTACTACACATGTGCTGTGCAAGTGATTCTAATGTAGTATGTATGTTTCCTCTGCAGATATGGGGAACGGTCACGTTGATGGGACGTGGCAAGTGATAAGGGAGCAGCCCGGTGCAGTTAATACCTCCAGGATGCTAAGGGGACTTGTCAATCAAACTGACGTGGTCTTCCACATTGGAGACATCAGCTACGCCAGAGGCTTCGCTAATGTGGTCAGTGGGAAGCCCGTCACAGTACATTGTTAGCAACACGTTTTATGGCGAGGAAAAGCTCTCATATGTATAGGGTCGCTTTGCTTCCCAATCATTGGTGTTGAAGCTACCTACTTAAAGACGGCTGAGTTTTCGTACAGAGTTGCAGTAGATAAGGGCTAAATTTAGAAGTGTTACTAATCAACAGTAGGACCCAGTGCAAGAATGCAGTTAAATTTCCACTTTCAGTAACATTTTCCAAATTTTAGCTCTTTTATACTGCGCATCCCCTGTCACTCTTTCTCTCCTCTTTCCCTGCGACAGTGGGACGAATTCTTTGATGAGGTTCAGGCAGTGTGTGGCAACGTCCCCTACATGGTCTGCATTGGAAACCACGAACGCAACTGGAATGAGCCAACGTAAGTACGCAGTAGTGCTCCAATATTAGTGCACCCGTGACATTTTACGTAGTAACAAGGAAGCTCTTGTTCATTACGATTGGGTATACAAAAACATTGGAAATTTTGAGCTTTGGGATCCAATTTTACCCAAGTGCGCACATGTACATAAGATCCTTCCTCCTTAAATTCAAGTTTGCAACTGATTTGCACGTCCTTCACATTAAACGTAGTGTGTCAGTGTGTTGTGTGTATGTTCATTCTAAACCCTCTCTCTGTGAATGTGTAGGTCTTACTGGAAGAGTCCAGATTCAATGGGGGAATGTGGTGTTCCGTACGAAAGGAGGTTTCCTATGCCCCGCCCTGCTCTAGACCAACCATGGTACGTACGTATAGATAGAGTAGTAGACTGTGCCATAGCACAGTTGTATTTAGTACCTACTCCAATTGATGCACACTTGGTGCACGTGAGTGTGTATTAAGCATTGTTGTTCTTCTTCTGTGTTCTCCAGGTACAATATTGACTATGGGAGTGTCCACTACCTCGTTATGAGCACGGAACACAATTTCACGAAAGGGCTCCATTCAGTACCAGTATCTGGAGAATGACCTTCAGAACGTCGACAGATCACTAACTCCGTGGCTTGTTGTCATTGGACACAGGTATACAGTGAAACCTCTGAATAAGGGACACCCTAGCTACGGACATTGAAAGTTATTGAAAGTGTCATTTGTTCAGGGGTGTCCTAATGTATTATAATTATGGGGCAGAATCGAGTGTATATACCTTATAGAGAGGGTGCCCTTTATTTGGAGGGTCTTTTTCAGAGGTTTCACTGTATTAGCAACAGTTTAGTAGCCCCCAGGGCCCTTGTGCAGTAGTGTTAAAGGGAATGTGGCAGTGCTAAGGGCTCATGATAGGACTAAACAATAGGGCCCAGTGCAAGAATGCAATTAAGAATAGGTTCCAGTTACGTATTATACTGCCACATTCCCTTTAAAGTGCAATTCCCTCGCTCTCTCTCCCTGTACTTACACAGACCGATGTACTGCTATTCCAACAATGACACTGGTTTCTACGCTGGAATCCAGCCTGTGGCCAAGTTACTGAGGGACAATATCGAGGATCTTTTCATGGTACGTATATACAGGAGTCGACAGAAACAGTGTGTTTATGAAAGAGGGCATCTGTCTAAGGCTGCCAAAGGGAAGCCAGTAGCTTACCCAGGCTTTACTGACACAAGAAAATGTTTTTGCTATATATAAGGGATGGATTGTCATAAGTCGTGTTATGGCTTGCATAATCAAAACGTGCAGAATTCGCTGCAAGATTAAAAACCTCTTAATAAGTGAGTCAGTGGACACCTTGGGGGGAGCAGAAGTCCTTTATTCGCAGCTACACTTAGTATTGGTTGTCCTTTATAGAGAGGTGTCCTTCATTCGCAGCTACACTTAGTATTGGTTGTCCTTTATAGAGAGGTGTCCTTCATTCGCAGCTACACTTAGTATTGGTTGTCCTTTATAGAGAGGTGTCCTTCATCGCAGCTACACTTAGATGGTTGTCTTTATAGAGAGGTGTCCTTCATTCGCAGCTACACTTAGTATTGGTTGTCCTTTATAGAGAGGTGTCCTTCATTCGCAGCTACACTTAGTATTGGTTGTCCTCTATAGAGAGGTGTCCTTCATTCGCAGCTACACTTAGTATTGGTTGCCCTTTATAGAGGTGTCCTTCGTTCGCAGCTACACTTAGTATTGGTTGTCCTTTATAGAGAGGTGTCCTTCATTCGCAGCTACACTTAGTATTGGTTGTCCTTTATAGAGAGGTGTCCTTCATTCGCAGCTACACTTAGTATTGGTTGTCCTCTATAGAGAGGTGTCCTTCATTCGCAGCTACACTTAGTATTGGGTTGTCCTCTATAGAGAGGTGTCCTCATTCGCAGCAACTAGTTTGGTTGTCCCTATAGAGAGTGTCCTTCATAGCAGCACACTTAGTATTGGTTGTCCCTTTATAGAGAGGTGTCCTTCATTCGCAGCTACACTTAGTATTGGTTGTCCTCTATAGAGAGGTGTCCTTCATTCGCAGCTACACTTAGTATTGGTTGTCCTTATAGAGAGGTGTCCTTCATTCGCAGCTACACTTAGTATTGGTTGTCCTCTATAGAGAGGTGTCCTTCATTCGCAGCTACACTTAGTATTGGTTGTCCTCTATAGAGAGGTGTCCTTCATTCGCAGCTACACTTAGTATTGGTTGTCCTCTATAGAGAGGTGTCCTTCATTCGCAGCTACACTTAGTATTGGTTGTCCTTTATAGAGAGGTGTCCTTCATTCGCAGCTACACTTAGTATTGGTTGTCCTTTATAGAGAGGTGTCCTTCATTCGCAGCTACACTTAGTATTGGTTGTCCTTTATAGAGAGGTGTCCTTCATTCGCAGCTACACTTAGTATTGGTTGTCCTCTATAGAGAGGTGTCCTTATTCAGAGGACCCCTTTTGTAGGTTTCAGATTATTGGGCTAATCTTTACTTCACAGGAGTACCAGGTGGACCTAGCTCTGTGGGGTCACGAGCACGCCTACCAGAGGACCTGCGCAGTGTACAAGGAGGAGTGTGTTGAATCGGGGAATGCCACCGTCCACGTCATCGTGGGGATGGGTGGACAGAAACACTCCACTAGCTATCCGTGAGTCAAAATATGTCCTTCTAAAACCAATGTATTGTTGCTTTTCAACAGGCCTACAAAGCCATCATGGTTGGACCACTTTGACGATAAGGTATAATTATGTATAATTATGGACATGCATAATACTAAACACATAAATTTAGTGCCAAGTGGAGTGAGCCCTTTTAGTCTCCGAAAGTCGCCATAAAATTATGTAGCTATGTGGTTTTTATAATGATGCTGTCATACATTTTAACCTGGACACTTGCTTCTGTCCCATTTAATGAGCACTAGGTTTGACTTTTGACTGTAGGTAGCACTAAAAGCTAGACACTAAGCGGGGTAAAACAGTGGGGTAAATTTACCTCCCTCCAGTACTACGGAGTATCAAGACTAACGGCAAACTCAACTGATCTTGTGTTGGAGTACCTCGCCAGTGAAGACGGCGTACCGAAAATCAACGATGTCGTAACCCTGACCCACGAGACTTGAATGATACTGCTGTTAGAAAGACCAACCTTAGATCATTGGCTGCTCCATGTATATACATGTATAAGAAGTATGTATGTGTGGTTTGTGTTTATGCAAAATTGCAGTTGAATGAAGAACGTTTTCATGTTTTGTGAAAAACGCAAAGATAAAGATAGGGACAAACTGCTATTTTTGCAAATGTTTTCCTTTTTTCTCTATTTTTTACACTCAGTCGCATTTTCATGTTTTGAAATTAACATAGGACGAACTGCTATTTTGTCAAACATTATTTTTTCTCAGGATAAAATGCACACCGTTGAAAGTTAACCCTTTTACCCACAGTGACAAAGGGTTAAAAACACACACTAGCTATTTTGTCAGCACCAGTTTATCGTGCACCATTCCATCGTCGTTGTGAATGTACTCGAACAGCAGAGTTGTGGAATTCATTGTCAGGCGGGTCATTCCCCAGTGCTGAGTGTTAGAGAAATCATGGTCACACCATAATTATGTGGCAGTTTATTGCACAGCTTTTGAGTAGGGCTAACAAGGAAGGGAAAGGCTTGGATAGAAACGTGTGCTACTGCACTGCGAAAAAACCTTCACGGGTTTTGGGGGTACAATCCACATTTCACCAAATTCTTTACCTTATAGTCAAGGTATTCGAGCCAAGCTGGGTTAGACGACCTGTGTAGAAAAACAGACACAATAGTTTCAGCTATACTCTGATGTGAATAAACACTCGTGAACTGCTAAAAAGCTTGTCGCGAAAAACCTTTTGTGAATGCTGTCAGCAGGCAAATACAACAGGCTTCTAAAAAAATACCGTTACAGAAACTTGTTCTGAACTTACTCTACGTTGTCTGAGAGATCGTGTCCGCCCATTGCAACGAGGACATGGACTGTTCCCTGATCGAGACAGACCTCCTGGTACACTGGACAGCTGCGGTGATAGAGGTGATGATGTCCCCACAGTGCCAGGTCCACCTTGTACTCCTGATGGACGGGGAAAATCACGGCTGATGGTGAAAGTATATATGGGAAAGCCAATTCAGTCCAGTAGCGTTGGAAGATGTTCGGACAAAGGGAGGGGCCAACGGCGCGTGCGTGAAAATTACACGCTTCACGCGAAAGGCGCCATCTTTATTTCTGCGAGGCACGCTCGAGAAATATATGGGGACACCAGCTCCTGAAGCCCCATAAGGGCTAAAATTTACTAAAGATGGACTAAACAATAGGGCCCCAGTTTTAGTAACAGTCGCTATATTTAGCCCTTACTCCCACATTCCCTGTAGTATAAAGGCTCACGTGAAGAAGAGGCTCCAGATATGTTCTCAGCAGCTTTGCCACCGGCTGCTGACTGTCAGAGTGTTTATCTCCAGTGCTGTCCACATACATTGGTCTGGGGGGACAGAAACACAAGATTTGTGGCATGGGGTGTCATGGCACTACAGAAATGATCCATTGTGGTATGAGCAATTCTCTGTCTCATTTACACCATTCTTGTATTACAGCTTTGTTTTGATATGCAGAATGTCATTATGTACATACATACATTATATGGCTTGCGGGATGGCCTGCGAATAAAGCTAGACAAAAAATGTACATGCAGCTTCACGATATTCAGTCTACAACTTTGAGGTACAACTTTGTTGTGTGGCATACGCCGCACAAGCCTTATACCTGTGGCCAGCAAAGATCAGCCACGGAGTCCGCGACCGGTCGACTGATTTGAGGTGAGCATCGAGAAACTGGTACTGAGGGGAGGTTGGGTCGAAGAAATGCTCAGTACTCATCAGAACGAAATGGGCACTTCCATAGTCGAACCCATACCTGAAGAACACATGCAGACAGTATCTTAACGACACCTAGGTGCACTTTGATACATGAGATAAGTCTCATGCACCACATGACATGACGCACGAGATAGAGTGTGGTGCCAACAGTATCTTAAAATGACACACTGTGCAACTCCTCTTGTGCAACTTCAATGAATGGGTATGATAGGCCATGCAATGCAATAAACAAGCCTTCTACATTGTTTCATGTACAACTTTGTTGTATGGCATATTATACCCATACATTCGAAGCATTGTCTCACACAAGAAGAAGTTGCATTGTGTATCACGGCATTAGTACACAGGAAGAAGAGAGAGAGATGGACTGACCATGGCTGATCAGGAGCAGGTGTGGGCATGGCAAACCTATTCTCATAGGGAACGCCACACTCGCCGGCTGAGTCAGTGACGTTGAATAGACCACTGCAAATGCATGCACGTATAGTGTAAAATGATAGATTCAGGAAATTGGGGGGGGGAGTGTGAGAGCGAGAGGGGTGAGTGCGGCAAAGCACACATAGAAGATAGGCTAAGGCTAGGTTCATAGTACGTCGCATTGCCCCGTCACGTGGTGCTGCAAAGGAAGAATGATTCTATCCTCGCGACGCGGCACAGCACGATGGGGAAATGCGAAGTACTAACTGTGAACCTAGCCTAACTTTGATTTTGGGAGAAGGGAGGAAACCTAGAGGACACGAACGAGTGTGAACGCTGGATTATCTCCCTACTTTGTATTGGGGTAGTCCCGCTCATGGTTCCCTATGCAGACCATGTATGGGACTGATGATGCCACTGACTGCACCTGGTCAAAAAACTCTTCCCACTGTCAAGAAAAAGAAGAGACAGTAGTATATCACTAAGTTCGGTAGTACTTACGTAGTATATAGGGATGGGCATGGTACCTAGCATCATAGATGTATGATAGGGAGTTTTGTACACTAAGGGGCACTCCTATAGATCCATATTGTGTGACTGTATATGCCAAAACCTTAGTCTCTCAGATGTAATGTAAAACCGACTGAGTGCCCCATACTGGCAGTACAGACCTACATGTATATACACAAGAGTCGAAAATGCCTGTACACAGTCACATAATGGGCTCCTAATACAAAAGACACAGTTTCACTGTCCCGTTGTGTGTCCTTATTTTAAGGTTCTACCGTATCGTCTAATAATGGCAAGGAAGGACAAGAGACACTCAGGACTGAGGGATAAGAGTCTTCCACTGGGTTACAGTACTCAGTAAAATTGCACGTCTCACTCCTGATCTCTAGTAAGCCAGGCAGTTGAATGTGTGGAGAGTGTGGCCAGTCAGAAAGAAAAGCACAGCTCTACTTGTGACGTACTTCTTGCTACAGTTACAGTACTGACTACTTGCACGTCTCACTCCTGATCTCTAGTAAGCCAAGCAGTTGAATGTGTGGAGAGTGTGCACAGTCAGAAAGAAAAGCACAGCTCTACTTGTGACGTATTCCTTGCTACATAGACACTATCAAGGCAATCGACTCTTCATTTTACAAGAGTTTATTGTGGATTTTCGTGTTTGGCATTCCTACATCACTCTGTATCTCGTGCCATAAATGTGCTGCCAGCTGCAGCCCTAGAGCTCACAACAGAAGAGTAGCCGTTTGCGTAGCTGATGTCTCCAATGTGAAGGACTAGGTCAGTTTCGGGGAGATACTTGTCGAGCAATCGCGTGGTGTTTAAGGAAGGTTGCTGTTGGCCGTCGGTGGATTGTACACTGTCGTCCACCTGACCACTTCCCATGTCTGCAAGGACGAGAAACAGACAAGAGAGGTGTACACACACACACATACGTTGGAACCTATGAATGGATGAAGGATGAAGTAAGTGAGCCTGCCTTAATGTCTGAATTGCGCAGTTTATATGTACTCTACTATGTACCCAACCCCCTTACAATAATGTTGTATGTGATAAACGGGGGTGCAGAATTGCATGTGTATGACTTGTGTGTTAGCTCGCTAAAATGGTAGGAGTATTAGCTAAACAGACTTTTTCACAAATTTCAAATAGCCTCATACTTCTTAGGAGTTTCATCTACTCAGATTTGTCTTCCATTAGTATTTCTAATGGAAGCCCACCTCCAAAGGCTGAAACTCTAACAGTGGTCTTGGGATCAGCTGCCAGAGCAGCTCTGAAGCTGAACTCTTGGCTCCAGCCAAACTGCTGGTCTCCACAGGTGTAGTAGTAGGTGAGGCCAGGCTGGAGGCCGCTCAGCTTGGCCTTGTGCAGGAGACCTGGGTCTCTGTAGCCAAAGTCAATGGCTGGAGAGCCACACATGTCACTGGCACTGTAGCTGGAGGAATCTGCCTGTGGAACCACATCCTAAGCTCAGTTACATTACATATTATTCCCACTGTAAACTATAGTGTTTTTTTCACTTCCATTCTGTAAAAACTCCCAAAATGCACAATTTTCTGGTACTATTATACCTACACCCACCTATTGCAGGTATGCCTGTGTATACAAAGCTTAGGAAAAACAAAGAGCAGAAAAAGCAACAAGGACCCCCCAACAACAACCCTCCTGCCCAGACACAGTAAAGAGGGGGGTTTACGTACCTCGGCTGCGTGTATGTACTGGCCACTCTCGGTGCCCCATCTCACTTTGGGTGTATAAGCGTCTTTGCTCACCCACATGGCACTGCATGGGAGGCAAGAGGTTGACACACAACACATGGATACCATAGAGCAGAAACTTTCACAATCTGTTAGCAAGCAAAAACTTCGAGAACACTTTCACTGAGTACTTGTCACAGCCTTACAGCTATATCCCACCACACTACCAGTAAAACTGGATAAAAGCCTTCGTAATATATATGAGGATACCATCCATAGAGCAGAGAGCCTTTATGCCCTTGCTTGAACTTCCCATTATCACTAAGTACGGTACTAATAGATTTGAAACCTCCCAGAAGAGCTAACTCTGAATCCAGCAAATGTATACAGAAAGCCAAAACCCACACAAACTCTGGAAGTATACTGAACACGTATCACGTACATCATTTCAGTTGGGTCTCCAGTGAGGGCCAAATGAACCTGCGTGGGCTCATTCCAGTTCTGGAATTGAATTACTTCGCTCACCGCGGCCAGTTCCGGATCATCGAAACCTGTTTCACAGGAACCGGAATCGAAGTTTCTGTTAAAGAAAGTCGTCTTACCTCCAGTCAAGAATCCCATAATGAGAGGTTCTCTCATGTTGATCAGTCTAAACAATAGGAAGCCCCTCCCCTCATGTTTGTGGGTGGGGCTTACTTCTGCGTACTGTGGAACAATGTGCCAAATGAATATCTCTCCATACTTTAATCTCCCATAGTTAACTTGTATGTAATTGCGTGGGCTCACAACTAAAATCTCTGGGATTAGGTAGGGTTTTTGTGCTAGGATAATGGGATGTTTCCTGGTCAACCAAACCTCACCCTTAATTATCTTGGAATGCAAGTATATAGTATGCAGTGAGCATACATACACATGGTTTGTACATGTAGCTACGATGAAGGCATAACAATGAAAAGGTCTTGGTTGGAACTGAGGGTATCATCCACTATATATGCTTTCTGAAACTGCTGCATCAATCTTGACTATTGTATATCAATCCACTTGTTGGTATGTAGGGACCTGAATTTAGCCTCTATATAATTATCATAGGAAAGACTCCTATCCTGACTGCTAACAACATCACGCTACTATACGTTCACTTTCGAGTAAGGAAAGCTGACACAGGCTTCAGATGGTAGAAGCAAACCAACTATATAGACTGTAGCTATATAGATGTGCAGAAAAGGTTGCGGTTCCAAGGTTGTTGTTGATCGACTGGTTTTTCAAGAAAGGAAAAAAAAACAAGCCCGCCCACGGAAAAGCCATCCTAAAAAGATTTTTTTGCGCTTTTTAAAACCTTGGTTTTTAAACTGGGTGACTTTAAATTTTTTCTCCCTTTTTTCTTTTTTTTTGTGGGGTGTGTGTGTTTTTTT